ATGCGTACAATGTGTGAAGCCCATTTCTGGTATCCACTGCCATGATATTGTTGCAATATTGCTAAAAGCCGTGTAAAACTAAACTCATTCACTAATAATGACACACACTCAGTTAACAGGCTCAAGATACCACTCCTGTATATATATATATATATCTATATACCACCGTAAGGTTGATTTCACTCACTCACTCTCCACCACAACTATACTTGTCTGTGGTCAACATTTAGCTACTCAGGTGAGCTGTAAGATCATCGTGAAACAACTTGTTCTTGTAGTTCTTGATTCAATATTTTTAAAGATTGATATCAGTTATCTCTCTATAATGCATTTAAACTGATGTTCATGATTGCTGCAAACAATTATTTGTGCCACATACAATGCTACGATAATTCTGTTGCAAATTGTTATACGACTGTTTCTAAATCCATGTCAGGTGGCGGTACTGATTTCACAAAATTTAATTTTCGGTTCGAATTGGACACTAGTATTAGTGGAGATATTTAAAGAGATACTAGTATCTGAGGTGAGATGAAATTGGGTTTAACGTCGTACTTGAGAATATTTCGCTCATATGACGACGTGCATGCGTGTGTATGTGTATGTGCAGCTGCTTGTACTAGCCCAGACTGAAGCTGGTTTTATAGTGCTAGCCCACTGAAATACTATGCCGCAGTGAAGCATGAATACCTCACTCAGACACATTATACTGACTCCGAGCCGACCAGTCCTTGTTGTACCCATTAATGCCGCGCGCCAGGCAGGGACCAACAAGTACCATATTTTAACGTCTTTTGGTATGACGCGGTCGGGGATCGAACCCACGACCTTCCGCTCTCCGGGCGGACGCTCTAACCACTACACCACGGAGGCAGTCCGACACTAGTATTAGTGGAGATATTTAAAGAGATATCTGATGAATGGGAACTTTTGTAAACATGAAAATAAGCATCCCTGTTTTAGGATTGACCATGCTTGTATGGCTATTTCAGAATTGCGTAATCTGAATAGTGACATAGAAACGATGAAGGCTCCTTTATCAAGCCCGGCGGCCATCTGTTTGGGGTGGGGTGGGGCAAATGGGGTGGGTAACTGACTGAAACGCTAGCACATACCTCGGAAATCAATTCTTGACATAGTCAATATTTTATACATATTTTTACAAATGTTTACATATGTTTTGTTACACTAATAGTTTACTTCAAAAGTATCCCTCTCGATCCTGGTTCGTATTAAATCATCAAATTCGTAATTTGCAAATTTATGTTTCAGTGAAAGACCTTGGTGTAGCTGAGAGAGTGTTTTACCGGAGAGCAGAATGTCGGTCGTGGTATTATGGTGATGAGACAAGGACTTGTCGTGTCGAAATCACTTAACGTGCCTGCCGGATATGGTACCATTCGTAACTACTCGCCTCTATCCGTGACCTACATCCGGCTTGCCGGAATGACACGAATACTTACGAATGATACGGTACCTTTGTCTACTAGCACTCCAACCAGACCGAATTCCGGACATGCAAACACATGCACTGACGTCGATGGCAGATCAATCTTGAACCATCTTTCACAGATACGTCATGTTCTGTTATAACTGTGAAGGCTGGGCCCACTAATTAACCCGAGATAGCATCTGTTCATGTGAACCCTACTCAGTACGGACGCTATGCTGAAAATACAAAACAAACGCCGATTTCAGATTTATCAGCGTGCAATCAGAAGTATCCATCGACAGCATTATGCACATCGATTCCCGACACCGCACTACGACGCCGTCAATTTGTCTCCATGAACACACCTTTCTAATATCTATTTTTTCTTTCAGAAATGAATATCTGAACAAACAGATGTCTTTCAATCCGGAGTTGTCGTGCTTGCATTTTCCAGTTGCTGTGGCACTTCGGACGCTCAAACACATTATCCGAAACATATATGTTAAGACAGTACATGCATGTCGGAGCGGTAGGGTAGCCTAGTAGTTAAAGCGTTCGCTCGTCACGCCGAAGACCCGGGTTCGATTCCCCACTTGGATACAATGCGTGAAGCCCATTTCTGGTGTCCCCAGCTGTAAATATGTTGCTGGAATATTGCTAAAGCTGCGTAAAACTAAACTCACTCATGCACTCACTCGCATGTCAGACACTCAGACACACTACGAGTGCATGCATTGGATGAATTTCAACTAGTGTCTACATAATGTACATTGTGTAAATGGCAAAATTGAAGACAGTACTATATTATCAGTTTATAATTGTTTACGAAGTATTTTAAATCATCCGATAAATAGATCTCAAATAAATATTGTCACGGAGCAGTTTCAACACAGGATATGTTCTAGCTATTCCCTTTGAAGTATTATTGTATTGTGTCATTTTCAAAATACGAACTATAAAATAAATTTAAATATCAGCAGTTCACCTTCCAAAAATAAATCCGTCATAGAATTAAACAAGAAGACAAAGTCATCAATATCCCCCGCAATGGCAAAATACTCTTCATGATTATGTCTACGAGTTATGATTATGTCAAATATTTAGGTGTGTACATAGAAAAGTGGAAGGAGAGTATTGAAAGGGTTTAAAAGTTCTGCTCCAGAAAGGAGCACTATCACCAATTTCAGTCTAAGTCAAACTTGTTGCCATGGAAATGCCAAAAATATTTTATTCAGAATTCCAAAACTACCAAAAGGCACCAGTACACCACCAGATCTATCTATGTGCCAAGTTTGGTGAAGAAATATTGAATGGTGTTAGAGTTCTGCTTCGGAAAAGAGCACAACCACCAATTTCAGTCTAAGTCAAACTTGTTGCCATGGAAACGCCAAAAATATTTGATTCAGAATTCCAAAACTACCAAAAGGCACCACTACACCACCAGATCAATCTATGTGCCATGTTTGGTGACGACATATTGAACGGTTTTAGAGTTCTGCTCCGGAAAAGAGCACTACCACCAATTTCAGTCTAAGTCGAACTTGTACCATGGAAACGCCAAAAATATTTGATTCAGAATTCCAAAACTACCAAAAGGCACCAGTACACCACCAGATCTATCTATGTGCCATGTTTGGTGACGACATATTGAACGGTTTTACAGTTCTGCTCCGGAAAAGAGCACTACCACCAATTTCAGGCTAAGTCGAACTTGTTGCCATGGAAACGCCAAAAATATTTTAATTCAGAATTCCAAAACTACCAAAAGGCACCACTACACCACCAGATCTATCTATGTGCCAAGTTTGGTGAAGACATATTGAACGGTTTTAGAGTTCTGCTCCGGAAAAGAGCACTACCACCAATTTCAGTCTAAGTCGAACTTGTGCCATGGAAACCCCAAAAATATTTTATTCAGAATTCCAAAACTACCAAAAGGCACCACTACACCACCAGATCTATCTATGTGCCAAGTTTGGTGAAGACATATTGAACGGTTTTAGAGTTCTGCTCCGGAAAAGAGCGCTACCACCAATTTCAGTCTAAGTCGAACTTGTGCCATGGAAACGCCAAAAATATTTTATTCAGAATTCCAAAACTACCAAAAGGCACCACAACACCACCAGATCCATGTATGTGCCAAGTTTGGTGAAGAAATATTGAACGGTTTTAGAGTTCTGCTCCGGAAAAGACAAATGTGCACGGACGGACGGACGGACGGACAGACGGACGGACAGACGGACGGACGGACGGACGGAGTCCATTTTAATACCCCCCGCAAAACGCGTTGCGGGGGATAATATTAGGGTAGTGTAGTAGGGCCACGGTGAAAAAATGCACCGTGGCCCTACTACGCTTCCGTAAATTGGAGTAATTAAAATTGAAAATATATAATTAACATATATATTTACTAGTATATAATACATCAATGTATCAGCTAATGTACTGCTACATCCGGAACTGGGTATCGGATCTATCCTGGTCACATTATGAAACCACCCGATCATCATTTAAATTACCCACAGACATTATGGTCACATTCTGAATCCACCCGACCCTGACTTTATTGACTCACCGTCATTCAAGTCGCATTCTTAAAACATCCAACTCGCATTTAACCGTTTCTTACAATTGCTAGGTATTTGTACAAAATGAAATCACACATTTTCAGTTACAAATGTTTTATTTCAAAGTGAGAGATAAATCCATACATCTATAATTGTTCAAATAATTATAAAAAAAAGACACTTAATGTGAAATAAGCAGACATTGATATAAAAATAAGCCAGGGGTTAATCCAATATGGTCAATCTAGTCTATATCCACTTCATATTAAAAGTTAAAGACACTATCACAGCGGACTAATATAACTTGCTTAAAACACCTTCCGTTCTATCGACTCAGTGTGACTGAGTGACTATTGTTTAACGCCGCAGCGACTATTTGCTAAGAGGTAGTGGTGGTCCGATTCATTGAAATAATCGAAGATTGGTCACAGTGACTAAGCGACCAAGCAGTCGAACATGTTTTCTCGTAATCGAACACGACCAATCTTGGAACACTTGTTTGCATTAACAATATTTTTCACAAGGCTGGTTTTGTCTGTGTCATTAAATTTACATTTCATAAGCACTACAAGCTCGTTCCAAGTCATGACTGTATTTATCTTAAAGAAGCCAGGAAATATGTGTTCCTAACATACTAACCATTATTTAAATATGCAAAATTTGCCAATGGACTTTAAGCAATTTGCAAAAAAACCAAATTACTACATGTATTTTACTTTATTTTTCTGTGTGCATTAACAAAAAATAACAGGGACATTTAATAAATGACGCTAACCAATTATTTTCGATGATTGATCGGTTGTAATGGACCAATCATCAATCATTAGATTTCAACCAATTCCGAACACTACTAAGAGGCCATTTCAGACGTTCTCAGATTTACAGAGACAAAGCGACAGCATAACGAAAATACCTCTTAGCAGTAAATAAATTATCACGCTGATACTATGATTAACTGTTCTGAAGTTCTAGTTTACTGTGTAATATTAGTGTTTGATCTGTTTTGGGAACCGCGTCTTCACGAACATGAACGCATCCGGTCAACCGGAGATCCCTTTAGGACAGCCGGGCACCCAGGAGATCCTACATGACAAACTGAGCTGCCAGGGCCACGACAGGGGCCGCTGTGGGGACCCCAGGGTAGGGCCCACTTGACCCCGCGATGTCGATGTGGGAGTATTTCAGGGGTGTCGCAGAGTCTTTGCCATGCTGGAATACATAAAGATCAAATCATTATATTCAGTGTGAATACGGGTTTTGCTACAGATATTAAATACACGAAACCTTCGTCTCCGTACAGTAGTTGATGTTAACAGTTGTATCGAGATTCAACGAAAGGCCTGCCACTAGCCTATATATACCTGGTCCATGCACTGCCACTAGCCTATATATACCTGGTCCATGCACTGCCACTAGCCTATATATACGTGGTCCATGCACTGCCACTAGCCTCTATATACCTGGTCCATGGACTGCCACCCGCCTATATATACCTGGTCCATGCACTGCCACTAGCCTATATATACCTGGTCCATGCACTGCCACTAGCCTATATATACCTGGTCCATGGACTGCCACTCGCCTATATATACCTGGTCCATGCACTGCCACTAGCCTATATATACCTGGTCCATGCACTGCCACTAGCCTATATATACCTGGTCCATGCACTGCCACTAGCCTATATATATACCTGGTCCATGCACTGCCACTCGCCTATATATACCTTTGTCCATGCACTGCCACTAGCCTATATATACCTGGTCCATGCACTGCCACTCGCCTATATATACCTGGTCCATGGACTGCCACTAGCCTATATATACCTGGTCCATGCACTGCCAGCCTATATATACCTGGTCCATGCACCGCCACTAGCCTATATATACCTGGTCCATGCACTGCCACTCAGCCTATATATACCTGGTCCATGCACTGCCACTAGCCTATATATACCTGGTCCATGCACTGCCACTAGCCTATATATACCTGGTCCATGCACTGCCACTAGCCTCTATATACCTGGTCCATGGACTGCAGCCCGCCTATATATACCTGGTCCATGCACTGCCACTAGCCTATATATACCTGGTCCATGCACTGCCACTAGCCTATATATACCTGGTCCATGCACTGCCACTCGCCTATATATACCTGGTCCATGGACTGCCACTAGCCTATATATACCTGGTCCATGGACTGCCACTAGCCTATATATACCTGGTCCATGCACTGCCACTCGCCTATATATACCTGGTCCATGGACTGCCACTAGCCTATATATACCTGGTCCATGCACTGCCACTCAGCCTATATATACCTGGTCCATGCACTGCCACTAGCCTATATATACCTGGTCCATGGACTGCCACTAGCCTATATATACCCTGGTCCATGCACTGCCACTAGCCTATATATACCTGGTCCATGCACTGCCACTAGCCTATATATACCTGGTCCATGGACTGCCACTAGCCCATATATATACCTGGTCCATGCACTGCCACTAGCCTATATATACCTGGTCCATGGACTGCCACTAGCCTATATATACCTGGTCCATGCACTGCCACTAGCCTATATATACCTGGTCCATGCACTGCCACTAGCCTATATATACCTGGTCCATGCATCTGCACTGCCACTAGCCTATATATACCTGGTCCATGCACTGCCACTAGCCTATATATACCTGGTCCATGCACTGCCACTAGCCTATATATACCTGGTCCATGCACTGCCACTAGCCTATATATACCTGGTCCATGCACTGCCACTAGCCTATATATACCTGGTCCATGGACTGCCACTAGCCTATATATACCTGGTCCATGCACTGCCACTAGCCTATATATACCTGGTCCATGGACTGCCACTAGCCTATATATACCTGGTCCATGCACTGCCACTAGCCTATATATACCTGGTCCATGCACTGCCACCCGCCTATATATACCTGGTCCATGCATCACACTCCTACATACACCTGGTCCATGCACTACCCGCCTACATATACCTGGTCCATGCACCACCCGCCTATATATACCTGGTCCATGCATCACCACCCACCTATATATACCTGGTCCATGCATCACCCGCCTATATATACCTGGTCCATGCATCACCCGCCTATATATACCTGGTCCATGCATCACCCGCCTATATATACCTGGTCCATGCATCACCCTGGTCCCTATATATACCTGGTCCATGCATCACCCGCCTATATATACCTGGTCCATGCATCACCCGCCTATATATACCTGGTCCATGCATCACCCGCCTATATATACCTGGTCCATGCATCACCCGCCTATATATACCTGGTCCATGCATTACCCGCCTATATATATATATACCTGGTCCATGCATCACCCGCCTATATATACCTGGTCCATGCATCACCCGCCTATATATACCTGGTCCATGCATCACCCGCCTATATATACCTGGTCCATGCATCACCCGCCTATATATACCTGGTCCATGCATCACCCGCCTATATATACCTGGTCCATGCATCACCCTCCTATATATACCTGGTCCATGCATCACCCGCCTATATATACCTGGTCCATGCATCACCCGCCTATATATACCTGGTCCATGCATCACCCGCCTATATATACCTGGTCCATGCATCACCCGCCTATATATACCTGGTCCATGCATCACCCGCCTATATATACCTGGTCCATGCATCACCCGCCTATATATACCTGGTCCATGCATCACCCGCCTATATATACCTGGTCCATGCATCACCCGCCTATATATACCTGGTCCATGCATCACCCGCCTATATATACCTGGTCCATGCATCACCCGCCTATATATACCTATCTGGTCCATGCATCACTCGCCAATATATACCTGGTCCATGCATCACCCGCCTATATATACCTGGTCCATGCATCACCCGCCTATATATACCTGGTCCATGCATCACCCCCGCCTATATATACCTGGTCCATGCATCACCCGCCTATATATACCTGGTCCATGTACCACCCGCCTATATATACCTGATCCATGCATCACCCGCCTATATATATCGCTGGTCCATGCATCACCCGCCTCATATACCTGGTCCATGCATCACCCGTCTATATATACCTGGTCCATGCATCACCCGCCTATATATACCTGGTCCATGCATCACCCGCCTATATATACCTGGTCCATGCATCACCCGCCTATATATACCTGGTCCATGCATCACCCTCCTATATATACCTGGTCCATGCATCACCCGCCTATATATACCTGGTCCAAACCAGACGCTATCATCATGAAAGCAGCTGGGGACTGATGTCCTCTATGCAGCCAAGGACCAGGGTTACGGATCACGCACTGGAGTGTGTCCTCATACTCCGACCTCCCTTTGTGGACACCATAATCCTACAGGAGAAACAAGATGGCATAAATATGGCCGCCATACCTTGTCAAGCCCTGATGCCATCATCATGTAGGCTGCTGGAGACTGGTGACCTCTGCTGACTTGCGGGGCACTCACACCAACCTGGCATTGCAGAGTATCCTCGTACTCCGACTTCCCCTTGTGGATGGTGTAGTCCTGTCATGATGATAATGATCATGATTGTTACGATGATGATGATTGTTACAATGATGAAAACAATAATGATAATAATGACGACGACGACAATGACAAATGATAATAGACAATAATGACGACGCCGATGATGGTGATGATGGTTGTTATAATGCAGAAGAAAAATGATAATCGTGATAATAATCACGACGACGATGATGATAATGATTGTTACAATGATGATGAAGATTATAATGGTAATAGTGATAATATTGACGACGACGATGATGGTGATGATCATGACGACGACGACGATGTTACCTATTAATAACGAAGACGGCGACAAGAACAACTGAAGTAGAGACCCTCATTAGTTGGACACCATGTTAAATATTTTGTGTGTATGTTGTTTACCGATACCATGTTGCAGCAATGTTCAAACTATATTAAGGAGAGCTGCAAATGACAATCTGGACCAGACAATCCAGTGATCGATATTATGAGCAACGATTCCCACCGTTGTTGTACGAGTGAGTGAGTTAGTTTTAGGCCGCTTTAAGCAATATTCCAGCAACGTACAGTGATACACCGGTATCCTTGCAAAAATTGTAAAATTCAGCAATTCGCTTATGTTGTACCGCCTTGCGTTCGTCACGTTTCCCATTGATGTTCAAGACACAAGACATGTCAGAATGTGATCAATTGCATTGTTTTGACAAAATGTGTCACGCTAGGCTTCAATCTACAAACTGACAAAACACTTGTTGCTCAGTACTACCTCTCTCCTGATGGTCGACACCTCAAGGGGGTCCCCGAACCTGTCTCCAGAACGCTGTATGGCATGTGCCGTGTCCACCTCTCCCGCTGGCCCGTTGTCCATGATAATCTGTGCACATATGGAGCATAGTGATACCAGACAATATAGAACAAGCTTCTTCTCCATGCGCTAACCATACCTACAGACTTCGTGGACTTAATCTGTTGTTTGTGTTCTAACTGCGCTACAGTACTGTTCAAATCAAACTGTCACTCTAATGCTTATCCGAGCCCAGTCCTAATTGTGGACCGTTTGTAATAAGTAAGTGTATGTCTATCACTATTCCCTGGTTACAATCATGAAAATTATATTATATTTGAAGGAAGTCCTACCTTCATGTCAGAGTGAGTGAGTGAGTGAGTGAGTGAGTCTTTCTCAAATATTCAAAAGAGAACAAAACAACAACAACGACGACGACGAATAACCCCAAACGAGCAGTGCAACCATTTCCATGTTCTCCCGGTAACGTAACACGATTTCAGTCTCGATCGTATGGAATCCTAGAAGGGACATCTTCGCGTTGTCGCATTGCTGCATTGTCGCACTTTGGGTAATTTTGACATTTTTTGCTTAGAGAATTTTCCTGTGTCAGTCTGTTGTTAAACGTACAACGTAAACACTTGTCTCCAACGGACGCATTTAACTAACGCTTTAGTATCTGAAAATATATATTTTTGACAGCAACAAACAACTCTATTTCAAATGAAAGGAGCCCCAGTGAGATTTGAGATTTCTGAACCTGAGGAAATATAGACTTCTGGATGCTCCATTTAGGGTTTTATCATTGCAGAAAGGACTGGACCGAAGGGAAAATAATGCGGTATCGTCAACTCTTGGGTTAAACTTTACGGAGTTCGAATGACTTGAATTGAATCTGCTTTGATTTGCTCTCTTTAAGATAAAGATCCGTTCAGCAAAGAAATCTTAGTGTTAAGACACGTGTAAGTCCTAAAACATTAGCCTTACGACAATCTTAGCACTAAGATCGCTTTGTGGAAGTGGGCCCAGCTCATATTCTAGGTTTGTCATTCAGCTCGCAGTAGCAGCAAATAACACGTTTCAAGAATAAAATTGGACTCATTGAAAATCACTATTGGCGATATCAGAGTTAATATTCGGAATTGATATCGCCTATTGGAATTTTTGCAGTCATGGACGACACAGGAAGTAGGACCTCTCCCAGATTCGTCACCACTGCAACCTGCAAGTTGCCACGGAATGACACGAGTAGTTATGCGTCTCCGAAACTGATCTCCCCCGCAGATCGGAAAACGGATCCCAGTGTCTTCACTCACCGAGTAGGCGTCACCGCAGGTCCTCTTGGCGTGGCCCGTGAGGGTGGCGATGGTGAAGATGTGGGGGTTGACAACACCTGGCTCGCTTGCCTGAGGGGTTGAAAAGCAAACTATGATAAATGTTTGCACGTTTTACGAATTACAAAAATAACATATATGCGATAAAGTTGGTGGAATATTGCTATAAAAGAGGGTACGCCATACTGTTGAAATTGTGGTGTCAAATGAGGTAATAGTAACAAAACCAGAAACATACAAACGCAAAATGATTTATTCTGTCAAAATTTACCTACAAGTGTACCCGAAAAAAAATCGTATGGCGATCGTGGGATATTCGCAAGGCCATCGCACGGCTACCGCATGATCACCGTGCGGCCTCCGTGCGGTGCCCGTGAAATCACGCGGACATTGTACGGTCATCCCACGGCAGCCGCATGATGGCCGTGCGGCAGCCTTGCCATGGTGCCTCGGCCTTTCCCCAGGAAATCGCACGATGCCCGTAGACAGTGTGAACACAAACGTCGTAACCCGCGGTCACCGACGATGCCTAAACAATCCTACGGAAAATCGTAGACTACTTTATCGTACGGCGCCCGTGGCAAATGTGGTCCAGGTATATCTTAAAAAGAGGGTCGAATTTTTGTGTTAAAAACAACCGTTAACCCGAACATCTTAAGAAAATGTCTCTGAAGTCAAGTTGCCTACCTCTTCCTTGAATTTGCAGAGGAGATCAGTCATCACCATCCTCCCCTCGGCGTCCGTGTTCCCGACTCTCACCCTCACCCCCGCGCGTGACGTCACGATCTCATCAGCCACGTAGCACTCTGAAACACAGCACAGCGGAGGCAATTTGACAACATGTCGAAAATCAAAGTCTCTGAAGATGAATGGTTCATAAATTTCCGCATTCGATTAGACAGTTGTCTACATTCTGTTGGCTTAAATATCGTCGTTTCGAGTCCGCAATGACACAACGCTCGAATTGTCGCCCAATCAAATTACACTCATGAGCGAGACAAATTCTGTGCTACCACCCAGTAGTATATAATACATTTATACTATCACCACTTGAGGATACCCGCGAAGACACGGGTAAGAATTTTGGTCTTCAGCAACCCATGCTTGTCGGAACAGGCGATTTATAGGATCGGTGTTCAGCTGATTTGTTTCATGCATGTCATCGTTTTATAATTGTGTAGATCGATGCTCATGATGTCAATCACTGGATTGTTCGGGACAAGACCACAGGCACTCGTGTCTTTGCGAGGATTAAATTTAAAAAAAATTATATATAAAAATTTGAGATGACCCCCGACTCGAAATGCTTCACAGTACAATACATTATGACGTCATTATGTATTGTACTGTGAAGTATGTTTAGTCGGGATCATCTCAAAAACAATATCTTAAATTTTTAATCCTCGCAAAGACACGAGGGCCTGTGGGCAAGACACGATTAGTTATAGACAACAGTTCTATTGTAATATGGCTGGAATATTGTCCGGCGTTAAACAACAAACAGACAAACAAAAATACACAATCAAACAAAGAATAGCTGGGATTACATACCTGCACCCACACTGTTCCTCACCATGCCCAACGCACCCCTCACCCTGATGCCAGGGGGTTTCAGGATCGACAGAATCTGTAACAAAGGAAAGTGTTCCCGAAAACTTGTTTCACTTGTTAGTTTTGGTCATGCATGTATTTACCACTTTGCTTAAACCTCTACATAGTTTTTCAACATGGCCGTCGTACGAGTCTTGAGGACTGACCATGACAGTGTTTAGAACCCCAGATCCATCGCAGTGGCTCTTGTCTGTACACATCATACCCGTGCTCGTATACTTCTACGACCTGCGGGGCGGTGGCGTAGCCTAATGGTCAAAGCGTTGGCTCGTCACGCCGAAGATCCGGGTTCGAATCCCCACATGGGCAGAATGTGTGAAGCCCATTTCTGGTGTCCCCCGCCGTGATGTTGCTGGCATATTGCTAAAAGCGGCGTAAAACCAAACTCAGTCAGTCAGTCTACGACCTGCGGGGGCAGTGTGGTAGCCTAGTGGCTAAAGCGTTCGCTCGTAAGGCCGCTGACCGGGGTTCGATTTTCCACGTTTTGTACAATTATGAAGCCCATTTCTGGTATCAACCGATGTATTGCTTTAATATTGCTAAAAGCGGCGTAAAACTAAACTCACTCACTCACAAATTTACCAAAGTAACGTCTTAGGCACGTTTTCCATAAAATGTTAATGTAGGTTTTCATCCTGTATTTCCCGTTCAGATCTACCAGCAAAATCAGAGCCTGAACCCGAGCCTCACGCGTGTAACGGAAGGGTTTAAATGGCCAGGATGGTCTACTCCCATTTGTGAGAACTCCCAGTTGTGAGACTCCCAGTTGTGAGACAGTGGAGTAGGTAAGTAGCAAAGAAAACACACCTTACTCCCCTATCTGATAGAATAGATTAACCCCAGCTAATTAGGGATTAGCTATTTAACTGAATCTTGTGGAGGTAACTTAAAAGATAAAGTAATTAACTATTTCTTCTGTGTAAATATAATGATAATCTTTTTCAGTATTTCAGTATTTAACTTGTTCTTTATTGAAAAACAATAAATGCTCTTTAATGCTCATTAATGAACTATGCCTCCTGCGGGTACTCTTCAGCAACAGGGCTGTTCCCACTTTCATCGTAGGGATGGGGAAGCACCACCTGTGTGCACTGAACCATTAATTAATGTGTCTCACAACTGGGAGTTCTCACAAATGGGAGGACACCGTGCGTTGAGACAAAAGCGTGTGCGGCATTAAACAGACAAACAGGATCATCAACGTGACCGACCTTGAAGAATCCGGCGACGGCCGCTGCGCCACACTTGTCCCTGTGCATGCCGGCCATGTTGCCGCCGGCTTTGATGTCAGCGCCGCCGGTGTCGTAGGTGACTCCCTGTGTGGATACAACAGCGTTAAGGGGTTGGGTGGCACACCTGATTTCTATACGAAAATCAAAACGTGTAACCTTATTTACGCCCCGTTCAGCCAGTAAAGAAATCACGAAACGTCCCCCTGTTTTCAGTTTACATTGTAATAAGGAAGCGCAGGAAAACCTGTATCAACAAAATGTCTGTGTTCGTTCTTTAATTTTGGTTCAACAGAAAACAGATTGACGCTAAAAGCCAGTCAAATTCTTTACTGTTACTTAAGCTCGAGATCATGTTGCCAAACAGTGTCTACAGGTCCAAGGCCACGCACCCGTGAAGATCCGGGTTAGAATTGGTATTCAGAAACCCATGCCTGTCGCAAGAAGCGACAAACGGGATCAGGTGGTCATGCTCGCTGACTTGGTTGACACATGACATCGTATCCCAATTATTTAGATCGTTGATCATGGTGTTGATCACTGGATAGTCTGGTCCAGACTCTATTATTTACAGATCGCCGCCATATAGCTGGAATATTGCTGAGTGCGGCGTGAAACAACTAGCAAACCCAATGGTTAGGCTTACCTTCCCGACCAGGAACATGGTTTTCTTGATGTCACCCTCCCCCTTGTACTCCAGGAAGATGAGTCGAGCGTGGTGACGGGGGACAACTGAAATATGTCATAAATATCATTACACTGCACCGTCGACCCGTGAAGGTCCGGGTCCTAGTACACTTAGAAGGTGAAATGTCTGGTTGTTTTGACCCAAGAAGACATAGACTCAGCATTACCTTCCCATTGACCCCAATACCTACAGCACGGCATTAAGTAGTCTGTCTCACAGTCGACCCGCGAAGGTCCGGGTTAGAATATTGGCCTTCAACAGCCATGCTTGTCGTAAGAGGCGACTAACTCGATCGGGTGGTCAGGCTCGCTGACTTGGTTGACACATGTCATCATATGACATCTGGGTAGAACCCGGATGTTCGGCGTGACGAGGAAACGTTCAACCACTATACCATCCCGGCGCCATCATGCCGTAGGTCACTAACCACAGCGTCAGTTCACTTCACCCTTGTCATACACGTTCAAGGGTAACAACAATTAATATGGCATTTGATTTCTGTTTAATGAAAGTGAAATAACTGATATAAATCGAGGCACTTTCTTCACATGTTGTATTCAAGTGAGGAATCAAACCCGTTCCTTTGTCGTGACGAGCGGACGCTTTAACCACAAAGCTACAGCTAGTTACTGGGAGAACGTACATTCAATATCTTCGGTAATAGCCACGTGTGCATTAAAGTTAACGATGGGCGGTCGGTAGAGTAGTGGTCAAAGCGTCTGCTCGTCACGCCGATGACCGGGGTTCGATTCCCCACATGGGTACAACGTGTGAATCTTGTTTCTGGTGTCCACCGCCGTGATGTTGCTGGAATATTGCTAAAAGGGGGTACGCCATCCTGATAAACGTGTTAGACTAACGCACAGTGTCTGAATATATTATATTATTTTGATAATAACAAATACCCAGAGAGATAGGAAATCCTGAACCTGAGGAAATCTAAACTTGCTTTAGGGCCTGAGCATTGCAGGGTTGGCTAAGCAGTAGGGAAAATGGTGTGGTTCCGGGACTGTGATACAGACCAGGAGGGCTAGGCAGTAGGGAACATAATGTGGATGAGGGACTGTGAGACAGACTAAGAGGGCTAGGCAGTAGTATGTGGTTCAGGGACTGTGATACAGACTATAAAAATGTATGTACTGACATCTGGCGGCCCGGTCAACAGCGGCCACACATGGATAATCCCGCTCCAGGACCGCCCGATCCGACTCAACTTCCAACTGAAACATACAGACACGCGTATCAGTCTACTCAAACATACGTCTTGGATATAGTAGCACAAAGACACGCGTATCAGTCTACTCAAACATACGTCTTGGATATAGTAGCACAAAGACGCGCGTATCAGTCTACTCAAACATACGTCTTGGATATAGCAGCACAAAGACACGCGTATCAGTCTACTCAAACATACGTCTTGGATATAGTAGCACAAAGACACGCGTATCAGTCTACTCAAACATACGTCTTGGATATAGTAGCACAAAGACACACGTATCAGTCTACTCAAACATACGTCTTGGGTATAGCAGCACAAAGACACGCGTATCAGTCTACTCAAACATACGTCTTGGATATAGCAGCACAAAGACACGCGTATCAGTCTACTCCAACATACGTCTTGGATATAGTAGCACAAAGACACGCGTATCAGTCTACTCAAACATACGTCTTGGATATAGTAGCACAAAGACATGCGTATCAGTCTACTCAAACATACGTCTTGGATATAGCAGCACAAAGACACGCGTATCAGTCTACTCCAACATACGTCTTGGATATAGTAGCGCAAAGACACGCGTATCAGTCTACTCAAAGATACGTCTTGGATATAGTAGCACAAAGACGCGCGTATCGGTCTACTCAAACATACGTCTTGGATATAGTAGCACAAAGACACACGTGTAATAGCTTTTGAAACAGTTTTGTATAAGATAGGGATCACTTCATTTATAAAGGCAGTCCTTGTATATAATACCACAAGGCACGTGTATCAGTCTATTGAAACATGCTTCCTTGTATATAGCTGCAACAAGTAAGAGATTCAGTTCATTAAAACGTAGTCATTGTATAAAATAGCGTAAGGCACATGTATCAGTCTATTGAAACAGTCACTGTATATAATAATCTCTGTCGTTAGCTAATTTATAGGCATATGGCTTACCTTAATGCATGTCCCTTCAAAGGTTTTGCGCACATATTCTTCAACTCGGGGAGCAGCCATCCGCTCAGGGTCAGATCCACCAATGTCACGAGTCACAATTCTGGAAATTATTTAAATATAGATAAAAGATGAATGAACGAACAATCGAACTTAAGGACGGACGAACAGATGGTAATAAAACGAGGGACAATTAAACATGCAAACAAATGAGAACGAACGAACGAACGAACGAACGAACGATTAAACGAAGAGACAATCAAACCGACAGATGGGCAGTCAGGCAGTCTGTTTCACAGTCCCTGAACTGGTGTCCCCCGCTGATATTGCTGGAAAATTGCCGAAGCGGCGTAAAACCATACTCACTCACTCACAGTGCCTGAACCATTATTAATATCTCTTCAAACACCCCTTTCTGTCAAACTAATGCATCAATAAAGCAAGTCTAGATTTTTCTCAGGTTCTGAAGCTTTTTTTAATTGATATGGAGTCATTTGTCGGTATAAAACTTATACATTTTCAAAGATTTCGCAATAGTCTAGCAGATCGGTTGCTCAAGTTTTTTTATGGTCATACAAGGGCCAAGCTTACCTCCCCTTCTCAACGGCTTCAGCAGTGGCAGCAGTTGCCTCCCCTTGTCCATCAGCACAGAACAGCCCCAACACCTCCGCCTTCTGCTTCTTTTCTGGGCGACCCTCACATACCTCTAAAGGCTGCACAAACAACATCGATCCTCAGATTACGACATCAGCAACTTATTATCAGGTGTTGATCCTAACTTGCTTTACCTCGAACACCACCTCCACTCAAAATCATTCCTGATGGAAAATAGACGCAGGGAAGATCAGCGACACAGGATTTTATCCCATGTCTTTTATTTGAGTTTCAACTGACTGTCCAACCTGCAGCTTCCAATAAGGGATCAAGGATCATGTGTATGGTCGGAACCGTGGTTCAAACCCAAGCAATTCACTCGATACAGGCGTAGTGGGGGTAGCCTAGTGGTTAAAGCGTTGGCTCGTCACGCCGAAGGCCCGGGTTTGATTCCGGTACAATGTGTGAAGCCCATTTCTGGTGCCCCCGTAGTGATGTTGATGGATATTGCTAAAAGCGGCGTAAAACCCGACTCACTCAATTACATGTAATTATCTTATTAAAAACCTGTTGACAACTATGAGTTAGGAACTCATTTTTCTGTGATCAGAAGGCCGCTTTTAGAATAAATATCACGTGGGCTTAACACATTGTGCCCATATTCACAATATAACAGTTTTTAATCAGAAGGCGCATATAAGTAATAACAATATCACAGTCGCCTGAGATATGACAAACATTCCTATTGCGTTTCTTATATGTAAAAGAATGCTATAGCGTGTTTGTTTCTATGTTTTCTTATCAGCCTACCACATAGAGAGCCTGAAGAGCCCCAAGAGCCGCCACAGCGCATGCGTCGGGGAATTTCTCGTTTCCGGTGCATACCAGAAGGGGGCGCTTACATCCACACTGGAGACATCTGCAGACCAAACAGTATTCATTATAGATTAAAACAGAAGATGTGTACGTTTATGAAACTATGAAACAAGAAATATTTATTAGTTAGGACTTTCAAAGAATGCCATATATGTTACTGAACGATCCGCCATTGTTGATAAGAATGCAGTTCTGTGCATGGTTGTCCCCGTTAGATGTGCCAGGATCCGATGATCGTGATTACGATCCTTTTCATTATGACATTATTTGGTTCGTCAGCACCATACTGTGGTCGTGGGCTAGAACCTGAATACCTTTTGATGCCTTTGGTGGCCGCCTCCCCGTAGCGTCTGACGTCATCATAATCCCGCGTGACGGGGCCAGTCGGGGCGAAAATCTGAAGAATCAATGAAACTTCTGAAATCTTTCGTGACCCACTCGTGATATTCCGGGACAGATCGAATACCGACCCGTGCCCCTCTTGTGCATCGCCCCTCACCAACCTCCACGAAGACGAGAAATGGGACCACTTGGTGCCACAATTTTTATCACTTTATTTCTTTTTGATCTGGGTATAGCATTTCATACACATTTAACAGGTCGGCATATTTGTAATATATAAAACAACTTAAATACATTATGTATGTGCATTGTAAATAGATTGTGGCAAGACGACCAAAATGAGACAAAAGTGTCATATTTGCAGTGAGAAGAGTAGGAATTTAATTTATGTAATTGGTAATTGTAATTCAATTTAGACTAGCTAGAGAAGGTACAGATGTGCACTCTGTGTCATTAGTCGCTTCTCACGACAATAATTTCCTCTTACTACAAGCCACCCTTGTAGATCCGGGTTAGAATTGATCTTCAGCAACCAATGCTTGTCGTAAGAGGCGACTAATGGGATCGGGTGGTCGCAGGCTCGCTGACTTGGTTGACACATGTCATCGTATCCCAATTGCATAGATCGATGTTAATGCTGTTGATCACTGAATTGTTTGGTTCAGACTCGATTATTAACAGACCGTTGCCTTATAGCTGGAGTTTTGCTGAGTGCGGCGTTAAACCTACCAATCTTACTATACAAGCCAGGGTACCAGAAGACCGTTAAGTGAACAGATGCATGAAGAAACTTTCTTTGTACGTACATCTTGCATGATCAGCTTGTCGAACATTTATTTTTTTCTGTTTTCATTCGGGTGAAATGATAAAAACTTTTTTCTCAATTTCCCCCTCTGGGGAGGAAATGTCTGTCCCGATGTGATGCAAAAGTACTCTTACGCTTGCCAAACATAAAGATCACAGGTGAGGTTGATGTGTATTTCAAAAAATGTTTCGAAGCAAATCGACTCGTTCTACATTATACATTCTTTTAAAGACCATAGCCAAGTAATCAAGTGATACAAAATTTAGAATCACATAAAATACGTTGCACAATTTGTGAAAAGTTGTTCCGCCCGCTGCACTCCACCAAGCTGAGGATGAAGATGAAAAATAGACACACAAAGTAAATACATACGGGCGTGCTTACACAGTTAAAACACTTGTTGGGCAGTTTACGTACTTATCTGATTAACTTTAACATCACGTTTTTCTGTACTGTCAGATTATAACTGTTGAAATACATGGTCGCTCACCGGCATATTTCAACTACAGTTCACGTACAGTCACGTGGAAACATATGACTGTGTACCTGTGGCTAATATATTTATGTGATAATTAGGCTGGATACAAAATAGTCACGATTTCGCATCGCCACTATGGCCTGTGTGATGAAGTTTTCATTCATTCTGATGAAATTTGATGTATTTGTAATAATGCCCCTTAAAATGACAAGGGGTAGCCTAGTAGTTGAAACGTTTGCTCTTCACGACGAACACCTGTGTTCGATTCCCCACATGTGTAAAATGTGTGAAGCCCATTTCTGGTGTCCCCCGACGTGATATTGCTGGAATATTGCTAAAAGCGGCGTAAAACTAAACTCACTTATAACGACATCATACTCAGTTAACAGGCTCAAGATACCACTCCTGTATATACACCCCCGTAAGGTTGATTTTTTTATTTTTATTGGTTCCCATGATTACAATGTCATGATATGTAGAACAGTGATGTACAGACAGATGGATGATGTACAGGTATTATGTCAATATCATGTTAATATATAAGTCAATAAAAGAGAAATATGACCTCAGGTAAATTGGATACATTTTAAATTCATCAAAGTACTGGGAAGAGAAGACCCCATTTATGATTGAAATGTTCTATTTTATTATTTCTTTTGCATATATGGTTTTCCACAAAGAATATTTCTTTCAAAGTTTTTATAAATAGAGCTATGTTTGGATGCGTATTTTTAATACTGCATACGTAAATGTGTCTTTTTGCTGCAATGATGATGTGATTTAGTAATATATTATGATGTTGAGTACCAAACCAAACCATATGTTTTGATAATAGCAGTGGATGAGGGTATAAATTGTTAAGCCAAATTTGTAGGGTTTCCAAAAAGTTTGTGTCTCCTGACATTCCCAGTACACATGACAAACACTCTCATTTAGATCATTGCAGAAACAACATAGACTGCTATCAACCTTTTTCATCTTAAGCAATTCTCTTTTTGTATAAATAACTCCTTGTAGAAATCTACATTGAAAATCTAAAAGTTTTGTGTCTTGCAATCCTTTTCTGTATGCTGTAAATATATTTTTCCAATCAAAGTCTATTTCAGGAAATAGCAGCTGCCATTTATTACACATATTTGGGTGTATATCATTGGAAATAAGTTTATCATAAAAAGTCCTGCAGCCTTTAGATGTTTTTACTAGATATATCTGACATTGGTTAATATTTAAATCCCTGACTGGTATTAAATGACAGTGGTTAAGAGTATTTTTCCAAGAGTGAGGTCATACATGTAGTAAATATTCATAATGTAAAAAAATGCCTTTGATACCATATATTTCTTTTAAAGATTCTATTGACAATAATCCAGTTTCATCACAAATATCCCTAATATTTATAATCCCTTTATCTGCCCAGTTCTTTATGAAGTTTAATGAATTTTAAAAATTATGATTAAACCATAATGGTTGGGATAGAATTTCATTAATGTTATTAGGGTCAATATAATGTTTTTTGTGGAATAGTTGCCATGCTTTTAGCACATCACGCCAAAAAGGATTTTCAATCTTAAAGTAAGTTTCAGAATTTGCTCCGAAATTAAATATGTCTTTAAAAGATATTTTGCATGGATTATTCTTATCACCTCTTTTGCAATACTGTCTTAAAGTAGATAATTTCAAAGCGTCTATAAATGTTTTTGCATCAATCATTCTCAAACCTCCTTCTTCATAGTTGTTTTTAATTACGTTCCTTTTTATTTTATCATTCTTGTCATTCCAAATAAATTTAAAAGACATTTTGTCAAGGGACGTGATAAATTCTGCTGGTGGGTTTGGCAAGGAATTGAAAATATAGACCAATTTGGAGATTGCTAGAGTTTTTATTACTGTTATTTTACCAATAAGTGTTTAATTTCTTTTTCTCCAAGATGCTAAGAGTCTATTAATTCCCTCCAGTCTCTTTCTTGTGTTGATTACCCATAAGTCTTTAAGATCTGGTGTAAATTTAATACCTAGCACATCAAATTCACCAATTACCCATTCAATTTTCAGATCATTACATACTTTATCCATAGATTTAGCTTTGGATCCAATCCAGATTGCTTTTGATTTGTCTAAATTAATTTTCAAGCCTGACATTTTGTAAAACTTATTAATTGTGTCAATAGCAGAGTACAAACTCTCTTCAGTTCCATCAAGAAATAGTTCAGTATCATCGGCATATTGATCCAGTTTATATTCATTATGATTGATGACAATACCTTTGATGTTTTCATTATTTCTTATCATGCAACCGAGAATCTCAGCCACAAAAAGGAAAAGATATGGGGATAGTGGGTCTCCCTGTCTACATCCCCTTTCATTTGCAAAGAACTCGGATAGATTACCATGTTGGATAACACAAGATGTTGTTTCATAGGTTAATATATTTATCCATCTTATCATTTCAGGGCCAAGTTCAAGTTTATGTAAAACCAGGTTGATAAAATCTTTTGAAACAGTGTCAAACGCTTTTTCAAAGTCAATCAGAATCAGCAAACCAGGAATGTTTTGTTTCTTTGTTTCAAACATTATATCATATAACAATCTTGTATTTTCACTAATAGTCCTACCCGGTATAAAACCAGTTTGGTTAGAGTGAATAAGTTCATCTAAAGTAGTTTTTAATCTATGTGCAATGCAGGAGCTGATAATTTTTAAAATAGCATTAAGTAAAGTGACTGGCCTCCAATTTTTAAGAAATGTTCTATCTTTTGGGGGTTTTGGAATACAGGTGATAACACCCCTTTTCATATTCAAAGACATTTCATTTTTTGTTGATACTTCTTTAATAAATCTATAGATCCAAATGTTTAATTCTTTCCAAAAAAATTAAAGAAATCAATAGGAAATCCATCAATCCCAGGGCTTTTAATATTCTTCATCCTGTAAACAGCATTGCTAATTTAATCCAAACTGATTTCTCTTTCAAGTTAATCTCTTAGTGTTTTGTTTAAAGTTGGAGTTTTAATATCCTTTAAGCAGTCTTCTCCCTTATATTGTTCCTGAGAAGCATAGAGAATTTTATGAAATAGTTTGACTTCATTCAGTATTGATTTGCTGTCAGTGATTTCGTTCTTATCATTAGTTATTATCTTATTAATTGATTTTTTTGAGAAATTCCTATTTTCTAGATGGCAGAAATATTTTGAAGGTTTTTCTCCTTCTTCATACCAAAGAATTCGGTTTCGGATTTGTATTCCTTTCATTTCCTCACTTTTAATTTCTTCCATTTCTTTCTTATATTTTGATAGTTCATTCAAAAGTTCTTCATTAATGTTTTGGAAGTTTTTTCGAATAGTATCTTCGACCTGTTTTATTTTTAATTCTAGTTCTTCTGTTTGTTTTACCTTTGTTTTCTTTATGTAGGATGAAAAAGATATGGTCTTTCCTCGGATTTTCATTAATAATGTTTCTAGAAATAAGGAGTTGGAAATTGTAAGTTTAATATTTTCAGTGTTTTTAAAGTTATCCATTTTTTCTGTTGAGTATTCCTGAACAGTGTCATTTAAAATAGTTCTGACTAAGTTTCCATATTCAGGATTTAACAACAAGGAATTATTAAACTTCCAGTACCCATTTCCTCGTTCCTGGCTTAAAGCGTTTGAAAAAGTTAACGTTATTGTTGAGTGGTCTAACTCTTCACCTTAAGTGGATTTACACCAGTACTTACACAGGGAACAAGAAACGTAGCCTGTCTCACAATCCATGTAGGGGCGGAAGGGGACATGCACATAAATTATGCAGTCCAAAGGTTAGGGGGAAATGCTCCCCATCAGGGGCAAAACATCCGGTGGAGAGAGTGAGTGAGTGAGTTTAGATTTACGCCGCACTCATCACTATTCCAGCTATACGGCGGCGGTCTGTAATACATCTAGTCTGGACCAGATAATCCAGTGATCAACAGCACGAACTGCGCAACTGGGAACCGATGACATGTGTCAACCAAGTCAGCGGGCCTGACCACCCAATCCCGTTAGTCGCCTCTTACGACAAGCATGGGTTACTGAAGGTTAATTCTAACCCGGACCTTCACGGGTCGGTGGCGAGAGATGGGCTTGAGGGGAGATCCACCTTCTAGATCCGCCCATGCCCTGAACTACATTATTTTCCCTTTTGTCTAGCCCTTTCAGCAATGCTTAAGCTCTAAATAAAGCAAGTCTAGATTTCGTCAGGTTCTGATTCTCCCATCTCACTTGGTCTCCTTTTTAATTGTTGGTTTCTATCAAAATTATATGCATTCAGAGAGTAAGCGTCAGTCTACAAGAAACGTTGCAATGTCAGGGAGGATATGCGTAAAAGAGAGTAATAGTTTCATCGGGGTTATTTCAATCGTCCGGGCGCAGCTAGCATTGTGAAAAAACCAGGGCTCACATAATTGTTGCTAAAAAGGTTGGGCAAGCCCTCAATATTATCTAAATATAACGCATTGCAACCTATCGGGCTTTACACCAAAGATATTGTCTCTGTACACTTTCTGCTTCCTCAAACTTCTCTCAATCTCGTTGTATAAAATAAAAGCAGTCGCCATATTCCCTACCCAACCTTAGAGACGCTAAGGTTGGGTCGGACCAACCTTAGTTATCAACCTTAACTAAGGTTAACCTTAGTTAAGGTTGTTTCGCGCAACGGGAGGCTAACCTTAGTAAAGGTCTAAGGTTGTAATCTTAGAGATAAGGTTGTTTTGAACAACGGAGCCCAGGTCGTTTAGTACAAGTGAAATGTAACATTATATACATGTAACAAGGCTCACGTATATGGTGGCTGACTAGTATGGTGGCTGATTAGGGCCATCGCTTTCTCGCCTTAAAATTCGGAGGCGAGAAAGCGATATCACGAGACGGGAAAGCGATCCCTAATCAGCCACCATACTCACGCGTGTCGTTGCTGTGTATACATACCAGTCTCTGTGATGGAACACGGTCCGTAGAGATCAGATGTACAGCGTCCACGTCGTCATAGTTCTTGTCCAGCTGAAAAATGAAGCCAAAATGGTTTTTGACGAAAGTGAAAAATACAATCATAAAACCACATTTTCATTGCTTCTTCTAACATATGTGTGTAGGCTGGGAGATATTTATTTTTGGTGGCAAAGTCGTAGCCTTTTGATGCTCGATGGTTAAACCAGGGATAATCTACAGCCTTCTATTCTCCATGGTTAAATATTTTGTTTTAAATTTAGAGCGTCTGACACATCAGACAAGACACAGCATGACTAAATTATATTTGAAAAAGTGTTGAAGTAAATAAATTACAATTTACGTTTTGCTGAATAAGGAACAGATCCTGAGACTGCATAATGATACAATTCGCATACGTTGTACCGTCGTGTGCTTGCCATGACTTTTTCGTGTTCCATGCATCTATCAACATTTTTAAAGAACTTCCAAATACAAAACGTGTTGAAAGCCTATTCACATTCTTAGAAATATGATCAATTTCATTATTTTGACCGAAAACGCGTATTCCAGCTGTTGTGAATTTTATAACACTTATTGTTGAGGCAAGGCTAAAATTTGTTTAACAGTCTGTAGCGGTTTTAACTAATACATATATTTTCTAATGTATTAACAACAGCAAGCGTTTGACCTCAGCTCACTTTCGAGACGATTTAATAAGACCTAAATTTGCTAACAGATATTGGGAGAAAGGTCAGTTCCGTAATGTTGAATGGACAGTCTAATAAGAACATGCTTTGGCCATAGTGATCTGGATAAATCTGCGAAATGAACAAGATATTGTCATGGCAGATGAGTTCCACTGAAAGTGAATTTGGACCAAAAACAGCACTACACCGTATAACGTAAAAGGTCATCTTGGGGTACGGACAAAGCAGAATGCTGACAAAACATTGTTCTCAATTCCTTTAGTCATTCTCATGAACTTGGTAGAAATTATAATAATTGGAAACGTAGTATAAAACTAAAGGCTAGCTTTACAAATATCTGAGGATTTTTGATACTTTTCACACCAAACTCCCCCGACACACTTCCTTAACTTTAAAAAAACATGGGCCTAAAAGGGCTATTATCGTAGAAATTGGATGTACATGTAGTTTTATATGGCACTGACTCTGAACACCACTTCCACTCAACCACCGGCCCCTTGTTGCTCACCTTTGCAAACTCTTGTATGGGAGCCTGCAACACTTGAAGAGCACCTCTTAGTTTCTCAACATCGTCTGTGACAACCACGACACCATCATATGAGGCGTCACTGAGACTTGAACAAGCGACTACACCGACGGCCTCCATGCTGCAAGTGGGACACCTTTAACGTCGTGATAACGTATTGAATATAATCAAATATAAAAAAGAAACTTTTCCTAGAATCTGGGTTTTCACAACGACTGACTCAACATTCCTCGAGAATGTAACCTCGAGTACCTTACATCCTGCATGTGACAAGGGTGAATCTGGCAGCAGTCCAAATAATCAGTCACAATTGTCAGCCGGTTGAACGTTTATGTAACCAGTACCATAACCATGAGGTATGTTCATAGGCGAATCCAGAGGGGGTGCAGGGGTGCGCACTAGTGTTGGGAATTAAAATCTCATAATTGATGATTGGTTCATTACAACCGATCAATCATCGAAAATAATTGGTTAGCGTCATTTATCAAATGTTCTGTTATCTTTGTTAATGCACACACAAAAAAATAAAGAAGAAACATGTAGTAATTTGGGTTTTTTGCAAATTGCACAAAATCCATAGGCAAATTTCGCATATTTAAAGGATGATTAGTATGTTAGGAACACATATTTCCTGGATTCTTAAAGATAAATTCAATCATGACTTGGAATGAGCTCGTAATGCTTATGAAATGTAAACTTAATGACACAGACAAAACCAACCTTGTGCAAAACATTGTTGATGCAAACAAGTGTTCCAAGATTGGTTGTGTTCGATTATGAGAAAACATAATCGATTGCTTGGTCGTTTAGGCACTGCGACCAATCTTCGATTGTTTCAATTAATCGGACCACCACTAGTGCGCAACCCCCCCTCCTTAAAAGTTTATTAAATGACCCATGAAAACGGGTGAAAATGAAGTGTGCACCCCCCACCCCACCCCACCCTTTCCCAATAGTGTGCACACCACTTCCTCAAAAATCTGTACCCGCCCCTGATGCTTACTGCAACAACAGTGTGACTGAGGCCGGGAGAACAAGAAGTATAATAACCAAGAAACACATGTAACAACGGAACGAATCAAATCTGCATCAAATGTGTGGTTATCATGCCATAATTAATTCTCTTATGTAGGTGTAGTGTTAAGGTGATACATTTAGATTCCTTGTGAGAAGGGCTTTCTTTTAAGATATCACAAGATATGGTTAATTTAATTAAAAAGAAATATTTTCGTGAGATTATTTTGAATATTTTAAGGACAATGGCGGCCATTTTGAAAATGCCACAAGGCATGATATCAATATATTTAGAATCCCTGTGAGATGAGCTTTCATTTGATATATCACATGGCGTAATTATTGACAAAATATCTGTTTGTATAATCATTTTAATGATTTTGGTGGGCATGTTGAAATTGGCGGCCATTTTGAAAATGCCACAAGGTAGCATTTGCAGAACTTTGTATCTTACTCCTGGCCTAGAAATACACCAGTAACGTTCGACACACACATGTAACACTACACACACACATGTAACAGCGGAAGGATATACATAACACTGGACACAAATGTAACACTGGACACACATGTGACACTGGACACACATGTAACACATGTAACACTGAACACACACATGTAACGCTGGACACGTATGTAACCTAGATACATATGTATAATTGAACTAACATGTAACACAGGGCACACACATTTAACCATGGACACATATGTACCACTGGACACATATGTAACCCTAGACACACATTTACCACTAGACACATGTTACGCACATGACACATGTAACACTGGACACATTGCAAGGTGTGAGGCTTTATTGGTGTTTACGGCATGGGTTACAAAGGATTTAAACAGTTTAATAGAAAACACATTACAATTCAAGGTTTAATATAGAACAAACTTTATGGATAACAACTTCTTTATATTAATAAAAAAAATGTTCTATATTGTACTTCCCAACTTATAAAATGCCACTCAAAGAAGTTTAATGGTTCCCTTGTGTGCAGACAGCTATGGGTCACCCTGACCTCCAAGGTGTACAATACGTAAACGTAACACAATATTGTTTCGTGTTGTTGATAATAGACCCATTTTATGGGTGTGCGACAATACTCAATATTGATGTGTGTTGGTGATACAATAGGCCTATTTTAAGGGGCTTCGTGGTATTGGCATTTTCAGTTTGTTGTTGAGTTCCTGGAAATGTTGAATCCTGATAAAGAGAACCAAAAAAACAAAAGAAATATCTATTTACCGGGTATGTAACATGTTATGGTATTTTGTTGATGTGCGAAAATATCTCATGTAAAGAAATATGGAAAATCCACACATATTTCACAAAGGAACATTATGAGGAACTGGAATCATTCACTAGGAGCATTTAATTCAACATAGTCGGTTCCATGATTTAACGTACGTGATAGACTGGTATCTAGACTAATGCTTAGTCTCTGAATATATATAATTTGGTAGTAACAAACAAGCCCATTTAAATTGAAAAGGAGCCCCAGGGAGACCAGAGATTCCTGAACCTGAGGAAATGTAGACTTGCTTTATTCAGGGCTTTAGCACTGCAGAGAGGGCTTGGCCGTAGAGAAAATAATGTGGTTCAGGGACTGTGAGACAGTCTAACTGGCATCCTGCTCTTTGCCTTCTTGCGGCTGCAGCGATGAGTGCAAGCACTGTAGGGCATGCAAACCTGACTCCCGCACCCTAAATTCGACTTCATAGTATATATCTTGTTTCCAAGTAGAATAGTACAGTTTAATGTTTTCTGGCTAACACGGAGACATACTGGTAAACAGTATCACAAACTACGTTAAAATATCTCCTCACTTGCCGGGAGTTTGGGAGGTATATCCAAACATAGTATTTAAAGTCACAACGAAGAGTGTACGAGACAGAAGGATCTTGTATGCTATCGGTAATCATTTGTACTCTTTATGTACGTTTGTTGTAATTGAAGGCGGTTTATATTTGTTTGTTGAGTCGCACACAAAGGTAAATAAATATCCGTCAGTTCTTTATAAGCCTAACGGTTAAAGAGTTCACTCTCGTCACGCCGAAGGCCCAGGTTCGATTAGTTACCTGGCGCTCTCCGCACAAAATGAGCATTTCGATAGTTACCCAGTGGGTTTACTTGCGAACATGCTCCATCGATCAAACACGAGGAGATCCAGATTCCTCGTGTTAGATCGATGGAGCAGTGTTCGCTGCCAAAGTAAGGGTAACTTCGAAATTTCATTTTGTGCGGAGGATCTGCCAGGTAAAGAAGAATTTCAGTTTAAAATGTGTATATATGACACTGCAGGGCTAACGTGACGACGTTCATAACGACATACGCTTATAACGAGGTGAGTGGCCATTTTACGCCGCTTTAGAGCAATATTCCAGCATATTGAGAGAGAGAGAGAGAGAGAGAGAGAGAGAGAGAGAGAGAGAGAGAGAGAGAGAGAGAGAGAGAGGGGGAGGGTGAGGGAGAGAGAGAGAGTGCTAGAGAGAGAGAGAATCTGTTTGCGTATGGTTACAGAGAAGAAAGAGTGTTATTATTTGTGTGTCACATGTTATATATGACACAAACATAGACACCTTAAGACACTTGATATAATATAACATCTGGCCATATGGCATATGAGACAAGCCACTACATTCTACCTAAAACAGATATTAGTGAATAGAATATCACAATTCTATAAGCAACAGTGGAGTGTGGTATATTTAATTACATGACTACAAAGTGCGCTTACGTCTATTAAACATTTTAGTAACCAATGCAGCTAAAGGTTTTATTAATTTCATTTTACCTAGCATATATGTGGCCTGGTCAGAAGGTGACAAGAGAGTAAACAAGGGTTAATATTTAATACATTTTCCCACAAGTCATATCGTAAATCCGAATATAGTGGACAGCTGACCAAAAAGTGAACTTCGTCCTCATCGTATTGCCATCACAACATTTACAAATTAAATGCATGAACACTTATTAGAGCTACCTGCATAGTCAACTCCACCCAGCACTAAACGCCAAAAGCCCGCATTCTCTACTACCATGCCTATGATCGAACATTGAACATTATGGATGCAGATAGTACGAAATGTAATTCTTGAATAACAACATCGTAAAATTAAAACTGTTTCGATTTGGAATCGAGATAGCTTTAGTTGATGGTTTTGATGCTACTGGACCAGTATGAGAATCCAGTGAAAGCGATATAATACAAATTGATAAACCGACATTACCTTAAATGGCAGCAAACAAGATGGCTTATTGAGGGAGACGCTACTCTCGGCAGTTGAGATAACTGATATTCTAATCACGCTCGAGTTAACGCGCGCATATGTCAGTAATCGGGAGCCGTGACAGGGAAACACAATAGATTAACTAATGTCAGTATATATTCGTGCTTGTTCCACTCATAATTAATGAATTAGTATCACTGGATTTAGAAACAATACGTTACTGCTAAAAAAATATTTTAAAAAAATATTTAGCTTTTCGCAATTTTAGGTCAATACGTTTGCCACGTCAAAAACAGTCAATTAACTAGATGGAGACAGACTTGAGTGAAGCAACGGTTTAGGTTGTCGTTGGAAAGTTTTAGCTGTAAGTACTGAAGAAATACGTTTTTGTTTATTGTTAGTTAATGGAATGACCAGCTTGTTTTTCTTCTACTGCTTTCTTTCTTCTATGTATGTCAATCTGTTTCTCACTTTATGTGTGTGTGTGTGTGTCACTCTCTCCCTATGTATGTCAGTCTGTTTCTCACTTTATGTGTGTGTGTGTGTGTGTGTGTGTGTGTGTGTGTGTGTGTCTCTCTCTCTCCTATGTATGTCAGTCTGTTTCTCACTTTATGTGTGTGTGTGTGTGTGTGTGTGTGTGTGTGTCTCACTCTCTCCCTATGTATGTCAATCTGTTTCTCACTTTATGTGTGTGTGTGTGTGTGTGTCACCCCTCTATGTATGTCAGTCTGTTTCTCACTTTATGTGTGTGTGTGTGTGTCAGTCTCTATGTATGTCAGTCTGTTTCTCACTTTATATGTGTGTGTGTGTGTGTGTGTGTGTGTGTGTCAGTCTCTATGTATGTCAGTCTGTTTCTCACTTTATGTGTGTGTGTGTGTGTCACTCTCTATGTATGTCAGTCTGTTTCTCACTTTATGTGTGTGTGTGTGTGTCAGTCTCTATGTATGTCAGTCTGTTTCTCACTTTATGTGTGTGTGTCAGTCTCTATGTATGTCAGTCTGTTTCTCACTTTATGTGTGTGTGTGTGTGTGTCTCACTCTCTCCCTATGTATGTCAATCTGTTTCTCACTTTATGTGTGTGTGTGTGTGGTGTCACTCCCTATGTATGTCAGTCTGTTTCTCACTTTATGTGTGTGTGTGTATGTGTGTGTGTCAGTCTCTATGTATGTCAGTCTGTTTCTCACTTTATGTGTGTGTGTGTGTGTGTGTGTGTGTCAGTCTCTATGTATGTCAGTCTGTTTCTCACTTTATGTGTGTGTGTGTGTGTGTGTGTGTCAGTCTCTATGTATGTCAGTCTGTTTCTCACTTTATGTGTGTGTGTGTGTGTGTGTCTCTATGTATGTCAGTCTGTTTCTCACTTTATATGTGTGTGTCACTCTCTATGTATGTCAGTCTGTTTCTCACTTTATGTGTGTGTGTGTGTGGGTGTGTGTGTGTGTCACTCCCTATGTATGTCAGTCTGTTTCTCACTTTATGTGTGTGTGTGTGTATGTGTGTGTGTGTGTCAGTCTCTATGTATGTCAGTCTGTTTCTCACTTTATGTGTGTGTGTCAGTCTCTATGTATGTCAGTCTATTTCTCACTTTATGTGTGTGTGTATGTGTGTGTGTGTCAGTCTCTATGTATGTCAGTCTGTTTCTCACTTTATGTGTGTGTGTGTCAGTCTCTATGTATGTCAGTCTGTTTCTCACTTTATGTGTGTGTGTGTCAGTCTCTATGTATGTCAGTCTGTTTCTCACTTTATGTGTGTATGTGTGTGTGTGTGTGTGTGTGTGTGTGTCAGTCTCTATGTATGTCAGTCTGTTTCTCACTTTATGTGTGTGTGTCAGTCTCTATGTATGTATGTCAGTCTGTTTCTCACTTTATGTGTGTATGTGTGTGTGTGTGTCAGTCTCTATCTATGTATGTCAGTCTGTTTCTCACTTTATGTATGTGTGTGTGTGTCAGTCTCTATGTATGTCAGTCTGTTTCTCACTTTATGTGTGTGTGTCACTCTCTATGTATGTCAGTCTGTTTCTCACTTTATGTGTGTGTGTGTGTGGGGGGTGTCACTCCCTATGTTTGTCAGTCTGTTTCTCACTTTATGTGTGTGTGTCAGTCTCTATGTATGTATGTCAGTCTGTTTCTCACTTTATGTGTGTATGTGTGTGTCAGTCTCTATGTATGTCAGACTGTTTCTCACTTTATGTGTGTGTGTGTGTCAGTCTCTATGTATGTCAGTCTGTTTCTCACTTTATGTGTGTGTGTATGTGTGTGTGTGTCAGTCTCTATGTATGTCAGTCTGTTTCTCACTTTATGTGTGTGTGTCAATCTCTATGTATGTCAGTCTGTTTCTCACTTTATGTGTGTGTGTCAGTCTCTATGTATGTCAGTCTGTTTCTCACTTTATGTGTGTGTGTCACTCTCTATGTATGTCAGTCTGTTTCTCACTTTATGTGTGTGTGTGTGTGTGTGTGTATGTGTGTGTGTGTCAGTCTCTATGTATGTCAGTCTGTTTCTCACTTTATGTGTGTGTGTCAGTCTCTATGTATGTCAGTCTGTTTCTCACTTTATGTGTGTGTGTGAGTCTCTATGTATGTCAGTCTGTTTCTCACTTTATGTGTGTGTGTGGGGTGGGGGGGTGGGTGTCAGTCTCTATGTATGTCAGTCTGTTTCTCACTTTCTGTGTCTCTCTCTCTCTCTCCCTCTCTCTCTCTCTCACACACACACACACAAAACACACATGCTCGAAACTTCCATACACAAAATATACAAATCTGAAACATTGCAGGGTACATCGAGAAGCAGCGCATGTCTATTGTCTAACAACAGGGGCACCTACCTACCTTGCAGAATCGAGGCGACGAGATGAACTGACTCTACTGATTATCACCTGACCAGGTCAAGGATAACCTCAACACATCCACAACAATGCATTGTAAATCGTCACGACAAGCACCTTGCATTCTTATAGAAGTTTAATATATATACCACACAGAAATAAATTGCATTCGTGTTATCGTTTATGATAATTTGATAAGAAACACAAATGAGAACACAGATTCGATTAAGGTACAGGAACATACGTATACAACGAATTATACACTTATTACGAACTGATTTATATACTACTCACACTTTGCTAAGGATCACAATAATTCACAGCTTTACTTTAACGTAGATTCATAATTTGAAATTGTATATAACGGACTGTTTGGGGGTCCCTGGCACTACCTATATATTTTAGTTGAAATGCGTATAACGAAATAGGGTTATAATGCCTTCGTTATAACCATAGTTGACTTTATCAAATGTCCCTGTGTTAACCTGGGGCGAAAAAGTACCGAAACAGCCTTTCTTAAGCATGCTAATTTTTCACATTTCAGATTTTAACATATACCATTAAAAAAAGTAGGGGATATTCCATTTTACAAGCATACCACTAGCCAATGCCAATGCATATGAGAAAAAGTAATATGTATCCATACAGATGAAACATTTCCAAAGGAATGGAATAAATTCTCACATTTTCCCTTAATTTCTCTTCATCTGTTTCCTCCTTGGCTTCATCATTTGCATTCTACCAATCTTGTAAATCCAATATCCCCTATTTTTTTGAATGGTATGTATGACTAGTACACTTAGAAGGTGAAATGCCTGGTTATTTTGACCCAAGAAGACATAGACTCAGCATTACTTTCCCATTGACCCCAGTACCTACAGCACGGCATTAAGTAGTCTGTCTCACAGTCGAAGGTTCGGGTTAGAATATTGGCCTCCAGTAACCCATGCTTGTCGTAAGGGGCGACTAACGGGATCAGATGGTCAGGCTCGCTGACTTGGTTGACACATGTCATTGGTTCCCAATTGCGTAGATCGATGCTCACGCTGTTGATCACTGGATTGTCTGGTCCAGACTCGATTATTTACAGATGATCGCTGCCATATAGCTGGAATATTGCTGAGTGCGGCGTAAAACTAAACTCACTCACTGTCTCACAGTCCCTGAACCACATTATTTTCCCTACTGCCTAGCCCTCAATGCAATGCTAAAACCTTAAATGAAGCAAGACTAAATTTCCTCAGGCTCAGAATTTCCCATCTGACTGGGGCTCCTTTTCAATTAAATGGGTTTATTTGTTATAATCAAAACTATATACATTCAGAGACAAAGGGGTAGTCTAGGCATTGAGCTGTCATGTGTCTACGCCTGTGCGCAATCACAAGATTAACATCAATCTTTAAAGACAACGTAGAAATATTGTCATAACGCACTGTATTAGGTCTAAAGTGTAGGCTACCGAATGCTCTCAGTTTCAGTTAATAATGTACGTACCATTGAAATGGTCCACAGGTTCAAAGTACAGGTGTTACCCTGTCTGTCGGTGTATATATCATATTGCTATGAGCACCTATCATTTGATTAAATATAGGTCACCCCCATACCATGGCTGAGTGTGAGGTTTAACTCAGTTGTCAGGAGCCTTCGGATATAAACTCAAGTACAAAAGAAACGCTACCAACTTTTCAAAATTACCCTGTGAAGAAACCACAAACACTAGAAACATGCAATAAAGTTTATTGAGACGACTGACATAAAAAGTTATTTGATGATTGTCAACAATTATAAATAACGATATGGTACCAATGTTACAGAGGATTCTTTTAACGACACTTCAGCAATTTCATTTTCATTTTTTTACACATAAACTTCTGCTAAAGAAAAGTCTATAGCAATGACTATGGTGAACTCTAGTAGCGAGTATGGCCTCCCTCGCGCCTCAAGACATGCATAGACCCTTCTACGCATTGATGACGTCCAGTCGTCTGACGTCAGCAGGTGGAATGTTCCGCCATTCTTCTTGGAGGGTGTCAGCGAGTTCTTGACGGTTTGTTGGGGATGTTGACGGCGCCGAACACGACGATCAAGAGCGTCCCACAAGTGCTCGATTGGTGACATGTCAGGGGAGCATGCTGGCCACGGAAGAACATTAACGTTGTTTGCTTGAAGGAAGTTCTGTGTAATTCTTTGCCACATGGGGTCTTGCATTGTCATGCTGGAAGCAGGATGCCCTGTTGGCGATTGCGCAGAAATGGCAGTACTGTGGGGCGAAGAATGTCATCGATATACCGTCTGGCCGTCAGGTTGCCATTGACGATGACCAGTGGCGTCTTTTGTTCTCCACAAATGCCTCCCCACACCATCACACTTCCCATTCCATAGGGAACGACCTCCTGAACGCAACAGGCGGCCTGTCGTTCTCCAGTACGACGATAAACCCGTGCCCTGCCATCGTTTCGGGTACAAGAGAAATCTGCTCGTCGTCTAAAGAGCACTCGCTGCCATTGACGTCGCTGCCATCGTCGTACTTTCGCCGTACCCACTCCAGTCGTCTCTGTCGATGTGCCTGGGTCAGCTGCTGTCCCCGGAACGGTCTGTAAGCCCTGATGCCAAAAAGCTCTAAGCCGCCTGGTCACTGTGTGTCGAATGACACGACGACCTAACGCCAACGCCGCCGATGACGTCACCGTCAGGAAACGGTTGCGCAAGTGCAATGTGCGCAGGTACCGGTCCTCGCGTGGTGTTGTAACCCTGGGTCGGCCAGTTCTGGGTCTATCAGTAGTCTGGCCAGTCTGTCGATATCGTTGGACGAGTCTGGACACTGTTACGCGGTGACAGCCGAGGGTCTGAGCGACGTGGTCGTGAGTGGCGCCCATCTCCAACATTCCCAATGCTCTTTCTCGCTGCTGCGCTGTCAAATCTCGGCATTCTTCTGGTGTCGTTTTGAGACAATGATGCTGTGCTTGCCTTCTGCATCGAATTTATACCCAGTCGAACGTGTTTAACTCAGCTGTCAGTAGTATCTCAGATATACTACAGTTGAGTGTGTGGTTTAACTCAGCTGTCAGTAGTATCTCAGATATACTACAGTTGAGTGTGAGGTTTAACTCAGCTGTCAGTAGTATCTCAGATATACTACAGTTCAGAGTGTGTGCTGTCAGTAGTTTAACTCAGCTGTCAGTAGTATCTCAGATATACCATGGTTGAGTGTGTGGTTTAACTCAGCTGTCAGTAGTATCTCAGATATACTACAGTTGAGTGTGAGGTTTAACTCAGCTGTCAGTAGTATCTCAGATATACTACAGTTGAGAGTGAGGTTTAACTCAGCTGTCAGTAGTATCTCAGATATATCTACAGTTTAGGTTGAGTGTGTGGTTTAACTCAGCTGTCAGTAGTATCTCAGATATACTACAGTTGAGTGTGTGGTTTAACTCAGCTGTCAGTAGTATCTCAGATATACTACAGTTGAGTGTGTGGTTTAACTCAGCTGTCAGTAGTATCTCAGATATACTACAGTTGAGTGTTTAACTCAGCTGTCAGTAGTATCTCAGTTACAGTTCAGAGTAAACTCAGCTGTCAGTAGTATCTCAGATAGATCATGATTAAGTGTGTGGTTTAACTCTGCTGTCAGTAGTAGTGATATACTACAGTTGAGTGTGAGGTTTAACTCAGCTGTCAGTAGTATCTCAGATATACTGGTTACAGTTATCTCAGAGTGTGAGGTTTAACTCAGCTGTTAAGTAGTAGTATCTCAGATATACTACAGTTAAGTGTGTGGTTTAACTCAGCTGTCAGTAGTATCTCAGATATACTACAGTTGAGTGTGAGGTTTAACTCAGCTGTCAGTAGTATCTCAGATATACTCATGTAGTTCAGAGTGTGTGGTTTAACTCAGCTGTCAGTAGTATCTCAGATATACTACAGTTGAGTGTGTGGTTTAACTCAGCTGTCAGTAGTATCTCAGATATACTACAGTTGAGAGTTTAACTCAGCTGTCAGTAGTATCTCAGATATACTTTAACTCAGCTGTCAGTAGTATCTCAGATATACCATGGTTGAGTGTGTGGTTTAACTCAGCTGTCAGTAGTATCTCAGATATACTACAGTTGAGTGTGAGTTTAACTCAGCTGTCAGTAGTATCTCAGATATACTACAGTTCAGTGTGTGGTTTAACTCAGCTGTCAGTAGTATCTCAGATATACTACAGTTGAGTGTGTGGTTTAACTCAGCTGTCAGTAGTATCTCAGATATACTACATGTTGAGTGTGTGGTTTAACTCAGCTGTCAGTAGTATCTCAGATATACTACAGTTGAGTGTGAGGTTTAACTCAGCTGTCAGTAGTATCTCAGATATATACTACAGTTGAGTGTGTGGTTTAACTCAGCTGTCAGTAGTATCTCAGATATACTACAGTTGAGTGTGTTTAACTCAGCTGTCAGTAGTATCTCAGATATACTACAGTTCAGAGTGTGGTTTAACTCAGCTGTCAGTAGTATCTCAGATATACCATGGTTGAGTGTGTGGTTTAACTCAGCTGTCAGTAGTATCTCAGATATACTACAGTTGAGTGTGTGGTTTAACTCAGCTGTCAGTAGTATCTCAGATATACTACAGTTCAGAGTGTGGTTTAACTCAGCTGTCAGTAGTATCTCAGATATACTACAGTTCAGAGTGTGTTTAACTCAGCTGTCAGTAGTATCTCAGATATACTACAGTTGAGTGTGAGGTTTAACTCAGCTGTCAGTAGTATCTCAGTATACTCAGATATACTGAGGTTTTCAGCTGTGTAGTATTCAGATATACTACAGTTGAGTGTCAGTAACTCAGCTAGTAGTATCTCAGATATACTACAGTTGAGTGTGTGGTTTAACTCAGCTGTCAGTAGTATCTCAGATATACTACAGTTGAGTGTGAGGTTTAACTCAGCTGTCAGTAGTATCTCAGATATACCATGGTTGAGTGTGTGGTTTAACTCAGCTGTCAGTAGTATCTCAGATATACTACAGTTCAGAGTGAGGTTTAACTCAGCTGTCAGTAGTATCTCAGATATACTACAGTTCAGAGTGTGGTTTAACTCAGCTGTCAGTAGTATCTCAGATATACTATGGTGTGAGGTTTAACTCAGCTGTCAGTAGTATCTCAGATATACTAGTTCAGTTGAGAGTGTGGTTTAACTCAGCTGTCAGTAGTATCTCAGATATACTACAGTTCAGAGTGTGTGGTTTAACTCAGCTGTCAGTAGTATCTCAGATATACTACAGTTCAGTGTGTGGTTTAACTCAGCTGTCAGTTATCTCAGATATACTACACAGTGTGGTTTTAACTCAGCTGTCAGTAGTATCTCAGATATACTACAGTTCAGAGTGTGGTTTAACTCAGCTGTCAGTAGTATCTCAGATATACTACAGTTCGAGTGTGTGGTTTAACTCAGCTGTCAGTAGTATCTCAGATATAATGATTAAGTGTGTGGTTTAACTCTGCTGTCAGTAGTATCTCAGATATACTACAGTTGAGTGTGAGGTTTAACTCAGCTGTCAGTAGTATCTCAGATATACTACAGTTCAGAGTGTGGTTTAACTCAGCTGTCAGTAGTATCTCAGATATACTACAGTTTAGAGTGTGGTTTAACTCAGCTGTCAGTAGTATCTCAGATATACCATGGTTGAGTGTGTGGTTTAACTCAGCTGTCAGTAGTATCTCAGATATACTACAGTTGAGTGTGAGGTTTAACTCAGCTGTCAGTAGTATCTCAGATATACTACAGTTCAGTGTGAGGTTTAACTCAGCTGTCAGTAGTATCTCAGATATACTACAGTTCAGAGTGTGGTTTAACTCAGCTGTCAGTAGTATCTCAGATATACTACAGTTCAGTGTGGTTTAACTCAGCTGTCAGTAGTATCTCAGATATACTACAGTTGAGTGTGTGGTTTAACTCAGCTGTCAGTAGTATCTCAGATATACTACAGTTGAGTGTGAGGTTTAACTCAGCTGTCAGTAGTATCTCAGATATACTACAGTTCAGAGTGTGGTTTAACTCAGCTGTCAGTAGTATCTCAGATATACCATGGTTGAGTGTGTGGTTTAACTCAGCTGTCAGTAGTATCTCAGATATACTACAGTTGAGTGTGAGGTTTAACTCAGCTGTCAGTAGTATCTCAGATATACTACAGTTGAGTGTGAGGTTTAACTCAGCTGTCAGTAGTATCTCAGATATACTACAGTTGAGTGTGTGGTTTAACTCAGCTGTCAGTAGTATCTCAGATATACTACAGTTGAGTGTGTGGTTTAACTCAGCTGTCAGTAGTATCTCAGATAGATCATGATTAAGTGTGTGGTTTAACTCTGCTGTCAGTAGTAACTTAGATATACTACAGTTGAGTGTGAGGTTTAACTCAGCTGTCAGTAGTATCTCAGATATACTACAGTTCAGAGTGTGAGGTTTAACTCAGCTGTCAGTAGTATCTCAGATATACTACAGTTCAGAGTGAGGTTTAACTCAGCTGTCAGTAGTATCTCAGATAGATCATGATTAAGTGTGTGGTTTAACTCTGCTGTCAGTAGTAACTTAGATATACTACAGTTGAGTGTGAGGTTTAACTCAGCTGTCAGTAGTAACTTAGATATACTACAGTTGAGTGTGAGGTTTAACTCAGCTGTCAGTAGTATAGTAACTCAGATATACTACAGTTGAGTGTGAGGTTTAACTCAGCTGTCAGTAGTATCTGTATTGTATCAGATATACTGACCATGTCGCAGTTCCCCAGAGTCGAGGTCCTTGTTGTACCCATTAATGCTGAGCTGACATGACCGGGATTGAACCCGCGACCTTTAACTCACATGATCTGCCTGCAACAACTAAGGGATGCAACTCTATTCAAATACATTCAAATGAAATATAACTTTGATCACAACACAAGGAGCTAAAAAAATGATGAAGTATCATTGGTCATATAAGGGCCAAACAAAATGTTGTGGTTTGATTACACCTGTTCAAAATTTAGGGTAGGTAGGTAGGATTTGTTTTTTACATTTAAAAAAAAATTAAGTTCAATTAATAACACATTTATCAATGTGTACTTGTTTATTCAATCAAGCTTGCGGCCATCATGTCGACTTTCTCTATCAGAATGACCAATGTCCATCAATGCCAGGAAGAAACAATGGTATCTGAAAGCTTATTTCATTCATACTGCTTACAAAAAAATAGGATCAGCACTATAATTCAAGAGTCGGTCGGGTAATCGGAACCATTATATTTTGGCCCAACCCTGTTGATCAAGACATAAGTAAAGTCCGGCTTCCCATACTGACTATAGTCTACATTAAGGTTTGATCGGATATTTGTTTGTCAGGAAATTTGAATATTTGGTTCTGGCTCTAGCATCTCGGCAGGACGAAGGTTGCAGCGAGGGCTACAATCGGGGCCCCTGTTGGGACTCCGGGGAAGGGTCCACTGGAGCCGGCGATGTCGATATGGGAGTAGGGGATGGGCTTGTCCGAGTCCTTGCCATGCTGCAACATAAACCCCATCTTTACAATTCTGTATATACAGCTGTTTAGAAAAAAAATAACTAGAAAAGATTCCAAATCGTTTGATTGGCTTACCAAGCGGTTACTCTTCCTAAAGCTAAAAATAGGCCATGCCCACTATCTGATGACCAATTATTGGCTGATAAAAGTTTGGTTTTGGTTTTTATTGCATTTGTGGCTTAAAAGATGTCACTGATTCTGTCTTGTGTTTTAATACTGAATAAGCAGTCTTCGAGGTTATTGTGTCAGAAAGTATATTTTTATAAGATTGACCGTGACCATACTTTGTGTGCATGTAAGTGATCTGGGATGTGACACTATTGGATGTCAGCTTGATATGGGATGCAGGTTAGTGACATTAGCAACTTTGAGCATGGCAAACCAAGAAACATAATCTTTGTGACCTGCAAGCACACTTAAAGGAACACCTCAGCACTGAGCCATGTAAGAGCATTAACTCAGATTGTCAAACCCTTTAGTCGGCCACAATACACCAGTGAGTGAGTTTAGCAATATTCCAGCAATATCACCAGAAATGGGCTTCACACACTGTACCCATGTGGGAAATCGAACCCGGGTCTTCGGCGTGACGGGCAAACACTTGAACCACTAGGCTACCCCACCCCTTGTATTACACTAACTACAAGGTGAAATTAAGACTTCCCAGGTAGAGTGAACCTATCATTCTGACCCAAAAGGTACGAGCCCATACTTCAGTGATAACATGCTGGATCAGGTTAATCCTTGAAGCCTAATGATGCATGATAAACAAGATAACAGCTTTGAAGAAACGGTTCCGCATGGACATTGGGCTCAAGAACTATAATCAAGCCAGACGTGAGATTCAAACCAGGAACTGTGGATCTCAGTACAACTATGGAGTCAACTATGTACACAGAAACCCAAAAGGGTACAGTATATACTACCAACCACTGGACTAAACGTATCAAAAAAGACCAGAAATTCAGAGGTGGTCTCGTCTTTCAGGAGATGACAACTGATCCTGGAGACCAGAATTCAGAGGTGGTCTCATCTTCCAAGAAACCACAACCGATCCTAGAGACCAGAAATTCCGAGGTGGTCTTGTCTTCCAGGAGGCCACAACCGATCCTGGAGGCCTGAGGTGGTCCTTCCAGGAGGCCACTACCGATTCTGGAGGCCAGTGAGTGAGTGAGTGAGTTTAGTTTTACGCTGAACTCAGCAATATTCCAGCGATATGGCAGCGGTCTGTAAATAATCGAGTCTGGACCAGACAATCCAGTGATGAACAGCATGAGCATCGATCTACGCAACTGGGAACTGATGACATGTGTCAACTAAGTCAGCGAGCCTGACCACCCTATCCCATTAGTCGCCTCTTACGACAAGCATGGGTTACTGAAGATCAATATTCCAACCTGGATCTTCACGGGTACCTGGAGACCAGAAATTCAGGGGTGTCTTGTCTTTCAGGAGACCACAACTGATCCTGGAGACCAGACATCCAGACGTGGTCTCGTCTTCCAGCAGACAACAAATGCTGGAGAAGATATATCCTCCAGGGTCTTAACTTCAACATTTGTCTTGGCAAATACATATACAGTGTTCGACAAAGTTACCTTATTAACGCCGGCCGCCATGATCATGAAGGCTGCAGGGGACTGATGTCCTCTGGCTGTGGCGCTGGATGGGAGGTTGTTTGCTTGGAGGACGTCCTCATACTCCGACTTTCCCGAGACAAACACATAGTCCTGCACAAATACATATAAAATGGGCATTCAAGTTTATCAATGCAAAATTAACGTTCAAGGCTGAGAGAGACTGACTGACTGAGTTTGGTTTTACGCCATTTTTAGCAATATTCCAGCAACATCACGGCAGGGGACACCAGAAATGGGCTCCACACATTGTACCCATGTGGGGATTCGAACCCGGGTCTTCAGCGTGACGAGCCAACGCTTTAACCACTAGGCTACCCCACCGCCCCCAAGGCTGAGAGAGAACAAATATTGTAGGATACGTTTAAAGGTAGTGGTGGCAAGTCAGCTTAACATGAAAGGTAAACCCAGCGTCATGTATCATAGATGTTGACGCACCTCCCTACGAATGGTGGAGATCTCAAAGGGGTCACCATACTCCTCTCCCTTCTTTGAATCTTCTGAGCAGTCCCCAGCTGTTTGGCCGGGCCATTGTCCAAGATTATCTGCAGTAGGAAGACACATCATCAGGAGTGAGTGAGTTTAGCTTTACATGGCTTTTAGCAATGTTCCAGCAATATCACAGCAGGGGACACCAGAAATGGGCTTCACACATTGTACCCATGTGGGAAATAAAACCCGGGTCTTTGGCGAGACGGGCGAACGCTTGAACCACTAGGCCACCCCACTGCCCATATATCATCAGGAAGCACGATGGGTGTTTTATAGAAGATGTAAGAACCCAATGTTATAATAACTATCATATCATGTCAGCTAGGCCTGTGAGGAAAACCTGTTATGCAGAAACCCTCAAGATAGTGTATGGAGCTGATAAAACCTTGAAACTTAATCAGGGCACACATAGATTCATAGGTTTCTGACACATTTAAGGGATGTAGTGAGTGAGTGATTGAGTGAGTTTAGTTTTATGCCGCACTCAGCAATATTACAGCTATATGGCGGCGGTCTGTAAATAATCAAGTCTGGACCAGACAATCCAGTGTTAATTTAAAACCTCAAATCATGATTTAACGTTATGGTCAGGCATTTAATTAAAGTCATAGTCTGGCAATTAGTGAGTGCGTGAGTTTAGTTTTACACAGCGCTCAGTAATATTCCAGCTAATCAAGTCTGGACCAGACAATCCAGTGATCAACAGCATGAGCATCGATTTGCGCAATTGGGAACCGATGACATGTGTCAACCAAGCCAGCAAGCCTGACAACCGATCCCGTTAGTCGCCTATAACGACAAGCATGGGTTACTGAAGGTTCATTCTAACCCGGACCTTCGCGGGTCTAAGGGATGCAGTAATGTGCAGCAAATTAAGGTGCTCTTGAAAAAATGGAAATGTCTCCTAAAGCAACATCTGTCAGACCAAGCTACCATTCAAGGAAACATCTTGGCAACAGATCAATGGTTCTACTCACAGAATATTCTGGTCCCATGGCCCTGATAGCGTGACCAGTCAATGTAGCGATGGTGAAGATTTGCGGCTTTACTGCTTTTACAGCCTGAAAAGAACAAATTTAAGCTGACTAAACATAAAACCAATCCTGGAATCAGGAGGTGTTAAGAATAGTTTTCTCCCCTGTGATGTCTGACATTGTATATTAGTTACTTACATCTTCCTTGAATTTACACAGGACGTCGGCCATGACCATTCTGCCCTCAGCGTCTGTGTTGCCAACTCTCACCCTCACCCCAGCTCGGGAAGTGATGATCTCGTCAGACACATAGCACTCTGGGGAATACAAAGCTTTGTTTAGTCAAAAGTTGTGATCCTTTTTTAATGTAGGCACTAGTGCTCTGGGGTCCCATCAGGTTAGTGAGTGAGTGAGTTGGGTTTTACATCGCTTTTAGCAATATTCCAGCAATATCACGGCGGGGGACATCAGGAATGGGCTTCACACATTGTACCAATGAGGAGAATCGAACCCGGGTCTTCAGCGTGACGAGCAAACGCTTTAACCACTAGGATACCCCAACATCCACCCCACCACCTCCAAGCAGGTTAGGTTGGGTGGGGTGGGAACTGGAAGGTAAGTACCCTTGGTAGGGACAGGTTTGAGTTGCTAGATGTCCTGTTAGGTTACAGAATTAGGGATGGATTGGTTGATGTCCTTTGGGTTTATTTGGGAAAAACGTCTGTAGGACTGGAGGGTGGAGGCCCTTGTGTAGGCCAGGGGTTTGGAGGAAACGTAGGGATTTCCTCAGAAAGAAATGTAAGGGTGGGGACTGTTTGGTGTGCCTATGGGTCCCCTCAGAAAGGACGTCAGGATGGGGGTAAAGGTTGGGACTGGTTAATATGGGTCCCCTCAAGAAAGGAGGACAGGGTGAGGTCTGGGTAAAGTCAATATGGACCCCTTAGGAAAAGAGGGTCAGGGTTGGTTCTGGGCGGAATCGAATTGGACCCCCTCAGGATATCAGGTTGGGTTGGGACTGGGTGGTGCCTATACCCTCCCTCAGGATAGGAGGTGAGGGTGGGGTCTGGGTGGAGTCCATTTGGATGATCAAGGTTAGGACTGGAAATAGTTTGGTTAAGGAGGGTTGGGGATGAGGACTGGGTGAATACCAGGGGAAGAAGGGTCAAGATAGGTGGGTGTTGATCTGGTGGAGACCCTAGGGTTCACTCAGGCATGGTCAGGGTGGGAATGCCCTCTTAGATACTTATGAATAGTTCAAATACAATCAACCACTGACATTACAAGGCTATGAGTGTTGTTTTTCCTACACAGTGAGTTTATGAGTTCTGTAGAGGTATAACTCCACTGACCAGATCCCACACTGTTCCTGACCATCACCATGGCGCCACGAGCTTTCAGACCCTTTGGCTTCAGGGCAGACAGAATCTAGAAAGTCATAAAAGAAAATTATTACTTCAAAAATTGTTATGCCTCTTACATTTTCTCCATCAAGTGTGTATTAAACAGAATGACAAGAAGATGTTCTTGTAATGTAGCACAATGGTGTACGGAGATGTTAACCCACTTGCACCAGGTGCAACCTAAGATACAAACCTAGTTGCACCAGTCAAATTCCAGTTGCACTGTTTTTAATGCAATATGTAAAACAGGAATATGCTATTGAATTATTTAGATGTTTTATTCAGAAGTTTACCCACTCAAAAATTGACTTGCACCTGGTGCAAGTTAGACAAATAACTAGGTTGCACTTTGTAATATTGGGTTGCACCAGTGCAAGTAACAAAGCACTAAATCGAGCCCTGGTGTAAATCCACTAAAACATCCAATAAGAACATGAAAGATTTTGAATAAATTCGTAAACACCAAGTTGTTCACGAACATGAGGTTAATTTCACTACACAATTTTGATCGAAATATGCATAAACTAGTCAGTCCAGTAAAGACATTAGTCTGAAATTCCAGCCTAGTTCTGTAAGGGTAGAAACTGGACTTTTATAGTGAGTGAGTGAGTGAGTGAGTTTGGTTTTATGCCGCTTTTAGCAATATTCCAGCAATATCACGGCAGGGGACACCAGAAATGAGCTTCACAAGGACTTTTATAGTCAGTTAATTACCACACCCCAATAAGAAGTGAGAATCTGTTTCCTCAAGATGTAGAATGAACAAGGAGAGTCTGGTGATATTTCTTATATGAATCATCTCATGGTTTATATAAAATTTGAGCATACTTCTGCATTATGACTTATAGGTATGTCAGTATTACTTGTTCAAAATTCACATTCAGAATTTCCCATTAATGGCTGGAAAAAATCAGCTGCAACAACACTAGCATGACACCAACACTGGCATGACACCAACACTGGCATGACACCAACACTAGCATGACACCAACACTGGCATGACACCAACACTGGCATGACACCAACACTGGCATGACACCAACACTGGCATGACACCAACACTAGCATGACACCAACACTGGCATGACACCAACACTGGCATGACACCAACACTAGCATGACACCAACACTAGCATGACACCAACACTAGCATGCACTCCAGTATCGCTGAACTTCAGGGAACTACAGATATAACAACAAAGTCCAAATACAGAAACTACCTGGTACCCTAAACAGGATACGAGCATATACTCCTCAAGCCCAATCTGAGGCCGGTTAATACTGAACTCCCCTTTAGCCTAATTTCAAATGACAGTGTGCATTGTGATAATATTCTTCATTGTGTATGCTTGTTTCTTATATAACGCTATCAAATGAATCTCATACAGTATGACAGTTCTGATCAAGAAAACAGTGCAATATGGAATGAACTCATCTTAGGGTACACTTCTGTATTTTTAATTTGGCTAGGGTGAGGTGTGGTGAAATTGGGTTTAACGTCGTGCTTGAGAATCTTTCGCTCATGTGTGTATGTGTATGTGTATGTGTATGTGTATGTGCAGCTGCTTGTACTAGCCCAGACTGAAGCTGGTTTTATAGTGCTAGCCCACTGAGATACCACGCCGCAGTGAAGCATGAATACCCAACTCAGACACATTATACTGACTCCGAGCTGACCAGTCCTTGATGTACCCATTAATGCAGAGCGCCAGGCAGGGACCAACAAGTACCATATATTAACGTCTTTTGGTATGACGCAGCCGGGGATAGAACCCACGACCTTCCGCTCTCCGGGCAGACGCTTTGGCTAGGGTACATTTCGATTTCTAGTACCTGTGCCGAAAACGACCCCTTCAGCTCCACTATCTCACCTTGAAGAATCCCCCAACTGCTGCGGCCCCACACTTGTCTCGGTGCATTCCGGCCATGACACCCCCAGCCTTGATGTCAGCGCCGCCAGTGTCGTAAGTGATGCCCTGTCAAAGTACTGTCAGAGTGAGTGAGTGTGTTTATGTCAAACAATTAAACTTCAATGACAAACATTTCTGTCATATCATGGCTGCCTGTAAATAAATCAGGTCTAGAACAGGTGAAACAGTACATAGCAACAGATCCATAAATTGTGTTACAGGTCACCTGATGGGACCTATTTGGTTGTTGAAGGAGTGTCAGAGTGAGTGAGTGTGTTTATGTCAAACAATTAAACTTCAATGACAAACATTTCTGTTGTATTATGGCTGCCTGTAAATAAATCAGGTCTGGAACAGGTGAAACTGTACATAGCAACAGATCCATAAATTGTGTTACAGGTCACCTATTTGGTTGTCAGGTAATATTATTAAAGACACTGATTGACTTGAAGCAGTCCGTCACTGTAAGTACCTTGCCAACAAGGAAGATGGTCTCGTCTGTATCACCCTCCCCATCATAGTCCAGGTAGATGAGTCGAGCCTGGTGCCGCTCCACAACTGTAGACAAACATCAGCAATATATGACCTGTCATCAGTAATACAGCAGCCTGTAAAGTCTATAATATTACCACAGTTCGTAAAGTGATCAATATTACCACAGCCCCTAAAGTCATCAATATTACCACTGTTTGTAGAGTCATCAATATTACCACAGTTCATAAAGTCATCAATATTACCACAGTCCCTAAAGTCATCAATATTACCACAGTTCATAAAGTCATCAATATTACCACAGTTCATAAAGTCATCAATATTACCACAGCCCCTAAAGTCATCAATATTACCACAGTTCATAAAGTCATCAATATTACCACAGCCCATAAAGTCATCAATATTACCACAGTCCATAAAGTCATCAATATTACCACAGTTCATAAAGTCAATGTTAATATTACAATATTACCATAAAGTCATCAATATTACCACAGTCCCACAGTAAAGTCATCAATATTACCCACTGCAATTCAAAATACCACAGTTCAAAAGTCATCAATATTACCACAGTCCCTAAAGTCATCAATATTACCACAGTTCAGAAGTCATCAATATTACAACAGTTCATAAAGTCATCAATATTACCACAGTCCAGTCATAAAGTCATCAATATTACCACAGTTAAGTAAAGTTCAATAACCAGTCATCAATATTACCACAGTTCATAAAGTCATCAATATTACCACAGTCAGTTACCACAGCCCCTAAAGTCATCAATATTACCACAGTTTGTAAAGTCATCAATATTACCACAGTTCATAAAGTCATCAATATTACCACAGTTTGTAAAGTCATCAATATTACCACAGTTCCTAAAGTCATCAATATTACCACAGTTTGTAAAGTCATCAATATTACCACAGTTCATAAGTCATCAATATTACCACAGTTCGTAAAGTCATCAATATTACCACAGCCCGTAAAGTCATCAATATTACCACAGTTCGTAAAGTCATCAATATTACCACAGTTCAGTAAAGTCATCAATATTACCACAGTTCATAAAGTCATCAATATTACCACAGCCCCTAAAGTCATCAATATTACCACAGTCCGTAAAGTCATCAATATTACCACAGTCAGTAAAGTCAGCAATATTACCACAGTCCGTAAAGTCATCAGTATTACAGCAGCCAGTAAAGTCAGGAAATATGTCAGCAATATTTCCTAAGTGAATAAAATCAGCAATATCACACTTTCTGTAAAGTCAACATTTACACATTCCATTACCCGGTATGTCAGGAACATTACATCAATCCACAAAGCCAAGACAATTTGACATGGTATAGCCATGGTTCATTCGCAGAACAATGACCCTTTCTTGGACAGAATTTATCTCAAAATAAGCCATGCAGGTGCATTGCTTAATGCAAGATAAGAGGACACTGCACTGGGTGAACAGGTCATGGTCCTGCAAATGCCCTTTTTGTTAAAGCATACACAAACAACATATAAACTTACAGCTGGCTGATCGGTTGACTGCAGCCATCAGTGGGTATTCCTTCTCAATGACAGACCTGTCCGATACCACAGACACCTGTCAATGTTAATCATGATTTCATAGCTCGGAACAAGTCAACAAGAAAGTCTCATTTAAACACACATTCTTCATCGTTTCTTTTCATGGGGATATGTCTGAAAGCAATACAATGGCAACACAGTTCTGATTCTCCTATCACATAACAATAATAGGTCACTTTGGTGTTTAGAGTAAAACAAATCCTCATATATTATGTTTTAAAGAATTGAAAAATTATTTCAAGAGTCTCACTTTGATACAGGTGTATGTCAATGCCCCATGGGAATATTCCAGTATTTTAGTCTCACCTTGAAACAGGTGTATCTTAATGCTTCTTGGAAATATTCCAGCATTCACTTCTCACTCTTTGACTCAGTTTGAGACAGGTGTATCTCAATGCTCCATGGGAATATTCCAGTATTTGTCAAAGGTGTATCTGAATGCTTCCTGGGCAAATTCAAGTACTGAGTCTCACCTTGATACAGGTGTCTCAAAATGCTTCTAGGGTATATTCCAATATTCAAATCTCACCTTGATACAGGTGTCTTTGAAAGCTTCCTGGACATATTCCAGCACTCGAGGAGCCGCCATTCTCTCTGGGTCGGATCCTCCAATGTCACGTGTCACCAGTCTGTGGGAGAGGTGAAATAAGTACCAGTATTCACCTCATCAGATAATCGCAGGAAAGTTAGGAAAGACATAATTACTGAAAGGCACTGTATCTCACTTGGATATGCAGTCAACACTTAGAAATGATTCAAATGATTCGAACAAAAATTGAGCAGTGTGGTTCTAGGCATTTCAGCATGGACTGACACATAAAGAAACAATGTAACTTATACAAATTGCAAAGCTAAATATTGAATCCCACAAATAATGAAACAAATACTAATTATTTTCTACAAGTGCTAAAAATCACCATAAATAGCTTTTTCATAATTTCAAAGTCAAATTTGACAGTATTCAACAAACTAAACAGTTATTTGTAGTTTCAGATTCATACATTCATAGATTTCTGAGATGTTAATAGGACAGTGCAGTTTGACATTTAATCAGTTGAGCTAGTCAAACCTGATTTTCTACGACAAATAATGCTGATGAAAATCTATTTTAGTCTCTATGGTGGATTATAGGTATTTCACCTATTGTGTAACTATTTGTGTTCTGACATAAAAATGAATCTGAGAGAGCAACACTAAAATGATATAAAATATTCTAACTGATACAATGCACACAGAACAGACAGATTTACCTCCCATACTCCAGGGCATTGTTGATGATGATCCCCTTTTTAACACGAGCTTCGTCATTACACCATATCCCAAGCTTCTCCGCCTTGATGGCTTTAGCTGGCACCGCCTCCCGAACCTCTAGAGGCTGTTGGTTGTACAGTCAGTGAATAAATAGATCTCCAGGACGATAATGATCAAACATTGCTTTTCTTCCGGGACAAAACAACAGACAATAAAACAATTCTGCCTCTGAGAAAGTGCAATTTCAAAATGCATGAGTGTGAGTGAGTGAGTGAGTAAATGAGTTAGTGAGGGAGTGAGTGTGTTGAGTGAGTGAGTGAGTGAGTGAGTATGGTTTTATGCTGTTGCTTTCTCCCACTGTCAGTAATATTTCCATATACTTCAAACAGTCCATTAAAATGAATAAATAGATTTTCATCGCTGCCTGCTGAACCACTAAACATCAGCTGACACTATTGACCCCAAGCACCTGCAGATGAAGACAATATCTACATTATTCCCTTCTACTCATCCGATATCACCGTACATGTAGTCCTACCAAACATTCAAGCTGCATGTAAATCATGATTGATCAAAGACACATGAAATAACTCATGCATGGTGCTTGTGATGAATCTTGATGGAAATCTAGCGTTTAATGTATTGTGGCTTCAAAGGCTTCCCTGTAAAACACCTGGACCAAACGAAACAGCTGTTGTGATCAGTTGCTAGGGCAATACAACGTGTAGTCGCACCTGAGGACTCTGAATATTCATATTCAACAGCTGGGGAATAAACATGAATATCACCAGGCAGGGTTACAAAAAGCATTATCTTTTATGTTCTCTAGGCATGCCATGTGAATCCAGTTTCTGGTGTCCCTGGCAATAGGGCTCTCACGAGTACTCAGGTACTTGGGGCTGAATTGGGTAAAGCAGGACTCGAGACCAATTGAAGGGACTTGATGACTCGCAGGGGAGATAACTCTAAACGTCTCACGCAATCAAGATGGATGATCGTGAGAAAAAATCCAATGTCTGGACGCATTTTGATCTTGATTTAGTGGCCAAAATACGAAATGCCGTCTTTGTGGCGTTTCCCTTAGTTACGCAGGTAGTACGACAAGTTCCATGTGGAAGCATTTGTCCTGTAAGCACCAACAAATAAGCACTGTAGACAGAAAACCAGCTCAGCAGGCAACGCTGGAGCAGTTTGGTAATTTTGATAGCAAAAGTCGCAAACCTGTTGACAGGAAATGGTATGAAGGTATTTCACAAAAAGCAATGCTTATGTGTGTTATGGATATACGACCATTAAGCCTTGTTAAAGGGGAGGGTTTCAGAGCTTTCTGTGAACCATTGAACCCAAATTACCAGGTCCCATGTACCGCAACAATTCACAACTACCTCATAAAGTCGTATGAAGTTTGCAAGGAGAACAAAATATCAGTACTCAAAACAGTACCTGCCGTTGCCCTAACTACGGACACATGGACAAGCGTAGCCACTCACGGCTGTATCACTGTCACTGCCCACTACCTATGTTCAACTTGTTTTCTACATAGATATACAGTCGTTCTTATCCAGCGTATTTCAGTGTTACATATTCAACAATCAACACATACATAAGCATTCAAAATAACATTCACACTTGGAGACCTATATCCTAAATAGTGAAAGTTTTAATCACAATGAATACCATTGACGTGATCTCCGTTCAGCAGAGTTTCGGAAGAAGAAATACAGCGTAGTGTTACTCAATAAATGGTTAGTCTTTAGTTTGAAACCAAAACGTTTTCACTATAAGAAGTCTCAAATAAACATCAATGCTGTTTTACATATTCTTTAAGTTCCATAGTCGATCAATGAATGCTATGTCTATGTATCTTCCAGCTTGCACACATGTTTTTCCACATTTTAACCGTGATTAAGGTTAATTGATTATGTGACTTATCGTCTATGTGAATGTTTAAAAGTTGCTAATATGTCATAACTGCAACGACATATTAATATTAGATAATCTTGAAAGCGCAGTCAAACTTAAAACCAAATGAAAAGAGAAGTATATGTACATTGATGGGTTTCTTTTCCCGGACACATCCAATCATGTTACAGCATTTACAGGCGTAATAAGGTATCACCGGCCCAGCTCATGAATATTAATCACATTATTGATCGCATACAACTGGGTCACAGTGACACTTACGCTGCCTTCACATGCTGTTTGCAATAACAAAAAGGTAACAGATACTTCCATTGACATTGCATATCAATTTCTTTATTCAAGAACGTTTGGATTCACATATACATGTTGCATTATTCGTAGATTGGAAGTTGGAACAACTATGTGCATGCTTGAATGTTGGTTTCAGATAAGCATCGAAATTGTCGGGTACTCGGGTCCGAGTTGGATCTGACCCCTCGAGTACTCGAGTCCCAAATTTTGGACTCATGAGAGCCCTACCTGGCAATGATTTTGCAAAAATGTGTCATAAAACCATACTCACTCACTGATTCTTTAGGCATGATCTAGGCATAGCACATACTCAGTCCTATAATTCAGAAAGGTGAATAACATATGAAGAAGGCCAAAGACTCACCACATACAGAGCCTGTAGGGCCCCCAGTGTTGCAACAAGGCCTGCACTGGGGAAGCTGTCGTCAATGGGTCTGACAAAGAGGGGGAGCCTTGCAACCTGCTTGTAGTGCTCTGTGAAAACAAGACACTTTCCTTACTCTAACTCCTGACACTCTATTGCGAAAATACATTTATTGACTTTGAACGAATGTGAATAAAAAGTTGTTGTATTTTACTGTCCACAATGATAGCTGATATGTAGAGAGTATAATTAACTCAATTTTATAAAACTATAGAACCCCTGAAGATTTACTACTAAAGGTTGTTGTTCAGAAAGTAGTATGTTTTCCAAGGAAGTGCGATAATAACACAGGAAGTGGTACTTGTCTCGAAGCATTGTCTAGTGAAGGCCTACTAGAGGCAAGCCAGTCATGGGTTTGCTTGGCTCAAAATTATTTTCCAGTCCACCATGATACAACAGGAATACAGCTGACTGCAGCAACAAACATCACTCACTCACCTACTCAGCTGTCAAAAACATTCAATCAAAGACTAGGCCAGCCATAAACAGCATTAACTAAAACAACCTGATAACAGGAGAAACTCTCTCACTTAGACATTAAGCAATCACAAAAGAAAATTCACTAATACACCAGTGTTGTAAATTCCCGCCTGCCCGACAGTCCGGGACGGTCTGTTTTGAGGACGAATGGTCAGCTTTAAAAGTAGCACGCCTGATGGTCAGGCTGTTATTGTGTAATGTATGCAATACAATCCATTTTACTATATGAGGTAAATTCTAACTTAATGTACCGGTAAGACCAAAGTTACTTTATTCTTCCTCACTTTTTCTGACATAAAAATTGTGTTTCTATCCTCCCTCGCCATTGGCCAAGTGATTGACATTATCCAATCAGAGCCCATTTTAGACTTGTACTCGTAAGGCTGTATTACAGAGTACACTGTGGACATGCAGAAGCTTGCGAACGTGTATATGAGCTCTGGTTAAAGTTGACAACATGATGACACCCCAGCGTTCCTCCTCACATTTACCTTCCTGTTGCTTTTGCTAGTCCAGAAAATTCTGGGCTGGCAGCATTTTATCCGGTCTGATAACTTTGGAGAGTTGCCAGACTGGTTGTCTGGATGAAATTTGGGGAATTTTCAACATTGCATACATTAAGCTAGACATAAACACTAAAACACAAAAAGTAAATAACAGCAACTCACTTACTCATTATGCCACCATAAACAATATTCACTCATACATTAAGCCAGCATTAAACATTCACTAACTCACTCACTTGGAAATTAACTTTCTTTGAGAGGCATTTCCCATCTGACATGATGCCAGGGTACTGCTGACTAACGCATCAAACAACATTCACCCAGACATGAAGCTGTCATGAACAACATTGACCGGTGGGACAAAGTCAAAACAAACAAACTAAATCAAGTACCCCTCTCTCACCTTTTGATGCCCTTGAGTCCTGCATCAGCGAAGCTCCTCACATCGTCCTGGTCACGGTTCAGAGGGCCAGTGGGGGAGAAGATCTATAGAGAACAGCATGTTCACTTCAGTGCATGGAGTGATTGCTTCAAGTGGTGTAAGGACTGACAAGGTATGTTTGTAACCTGTTTAACTGTAATCCACACTTCACTTTTCTAGTGTCATCATCTTAAAACTACAATGCATTTTTTATCCTAGGCATGATACCCAAAAAGGGAAGGGAACAAAACTATTATGGCCTTTTTTAAAGTTTTGAATACGCCTAATTTGTATCAAGTATAAATACTTCGCATGAATAAAATAGAGCCTAATAAACGTTTCCAAATCTTTCCTTACAGAAATCAATCTAAGCATAAATTCTCCCATTGTTATCAATAATGGAAATGATTCATCATCCTATACCAGGTGTTTCCGTTAGAGATGGTGGAGATAACAGGCAAATAAAGAATCTCTGATCCACAGATAAACTTAATCTCTCCATTTCCAGTGTTAACCTCAAAACCTGTGGACGTTCATTGTGAAACTCTCTCCCAAATGAACTCAAGAACCAGGAGCGGATCCAGGATTTTGTGGAAGTGGGAGGGTGCATAAATCATGAAGTCCAAAGGTTAGGGGGAAATGCTCCTCATGGACATTTTTTTCGGGGAGATGGGGGATGCGCACCCCACTTCTGGATCCGCCCCTGAGAACTATCCTCCACTTTTATGTTGAAGTCTAAATAATGTTTTCTTTCACAAATACCACACAAGAAATTATCATATTTATCATGCATGTTTTGAGCAAACATATCCTGAGTGGAAGATGGCGCTTCACAAATATAATTAGTGTAATATGTTACCAGTCTCCGGGACGGCACAACTGTCTCATCTGTCTGCACCAGTACCACGTCCTTCTCCAACGCACTGTCCACCTGGGCAGAAAGTGACCATTGCAAATATAACCTCCAATAGATTGAAAGGGCAGGGCCGCCTCCAGGGTGTAGTAATTAGAGTGTCCGCCCGGAGAGCGGAAGGTCGCAGGTTTAATCCCCGACCGCGTCATACCAAAAGACGTTAAAATATGGTACTTGTTGGTCCCTGCCTGGCGCTCGGCATTAATGGGTACAACAAGGACTGGTCGGCTCGGAGTCAGTATAATGTGTCTGAGTGGGGTATTCATGCTTCACTGCGGCAAGGTATCTCAGTGGGCTAGCACTATAAAACCAGCTTCAGTCTGGGCTAGTACAAGCAGCCGCACATACACATACACACGCATCACGTCGTCATATGAGCAAAATATTCTCCAACGTGACGTTAAACCCAATTTACCTCACCTTGAAAGGGCAATGCTGTTCACCGTGTTCACATTTGGTGAATGGAACCAATAGGCAGTAACAGATGGCTCATGAACGGAAGGGCAATACTGACCACCTGTTCACAGATCAGGGTACAGAGACGATTGGCAGCATCACATACAGCTCATGGACAAAAGGACAATACTGACCACCTGTTCACAGATCAGGGTACAGAGACGATTGGCAGCATCACATACAGCTCATGCACAGAGGGCAATGATGTTCACCTGTTCACAGATCAGTGAACAGATCCAACAGGTAGCATCACATACAGCTAATGGACAGAAGGCCAGATTTGACCATTTTTCAGTGAACATGACAAAGAATTGAGTCCAGATACGATAATTGTTGAATGAACACATTTGAGAATTCATGGTGGAATACAATAGTTTAAATTAACAGAACAAAATAAACTGATATTTCATATTACAAATTTGTTTGAAAAGGCCAGGTATGCTCATTAATCAAACATATATTCAGCACACCTGGTCCTCTCCTTATCCAAACAACTCTCTTTAAATGATATCAGGTAGACATCAGTAAATCATATCTATTAGTTATTACTATTAGTTATTAATCACATGTCCACGTTTAGTGTAAGTAAAAAGTGTTAAATAGTTAAGCATGGCATGTACTTAATGGTTCATTAATAGAATAGTTTGTATTTTTATTTTCAATTATTATAACCGAGATATAATTTTGAAATCTGCTTATATTCTTAAGAAGATTTTGTAAGTACCATTTCCAAAGAATTATAAAATAAGTCAATACAAATTTCTACCCGAGTTGTAATTTTACATATATGAAAGTATAAAAATAAGGAAGTAATAGCATGCTTAGTATATTACCCTTCCATAGTTCTCCAAAGGAGCTTTCAGACACTCCAAGTCACCTGTCAGTTTGGAGATGGAATCTGTTACCACGACAACCCCATCAAAGTGGGGGTCCTTGACATTCAGGCAGGGGACAAGTGTTGGAAGCCTGGGATACAAGTGGTCAGGCAGAATATTAGAGAATATTAGAAATAATCTGTTACACAGTCAGTTTGGAGATGGAATCTGTTACCACGACAACCCCATCAAACTGGCGGTCGTTGACATCCAGGCAGGGGACAAGTGTTGGAAGCCTGGGATACAAGTGGTCAGCAGAATATTAGAAATAATCTATTACACAGTGAAACCTCGCTTATGTGGACACCTCACTTATCTGGACCTTAGATATGTGGACACCTCACTATAGTGCACCCTAGATATGTGGACACCTCACTAAACTGGACCCTAGCTATGTGAACACCTCATTTATCTCGACCCTAGATATCTGGACACCTCATTTCCAGATGATATTTACATGAAACAAAATACACACTACATACAATATAATTTATAAAGACTTCCAGTTTCCTGAATCAGGGCTACAGATAAGAGGGGCGTATAGGCGTAATGTACACCTCAAAATCAATTAAGTACGACACAATATAAGATTTCAAGCCTATCGGTAATGCATTACATAAATACCTTCGTACGTCTAACATTTAATTTCCGTGAGTATCGTGCGTGTAAATGGAAATCTATTTCGGATAAATACTTGTTGTCAAGAGTTTCTTTCGCGAAACACGATTTGACACATAAGGAAACCCTGACAGTAGGAATCCCTTGCGTTGCCAATGCATGATGATATCGTCACTATTTTTTCGATTGGCTAAAAACTACACTGTTCCTATTTATATCCAGTCGGACCTGACATTTCAGCGCATCACACAGTCGGCTCAGTTATTTCTCACGCTGGCGTCTTCAAATACAAATACATGGTTGGAAATAGTGATCGATGAATCGTCCAGACAAACCCACATCAACTTCGCTCACACAAAACATGTCAGTACTCCTTCAAAATTCTCAGTACACCTCCACTTGCAATATGATGTGTAAGTACACTCACACCCCCAAAAGTTATCTGGAGCCCTGCTGAATGACCAACACTGCAAAATACACTGTACTGTATCCCTCTTACTGACAACATACACACTTGTCAGTATTTTCTTCACTTCATCATTCCCTATCCAACATTCAACATCATTATTTTAATCATGTTATAAAATTGCCGAATAAAAATGTTCATCGTATATCTTGACTCATGTTTGTAAACTATTTTATCAGTTTCGTTACAAATTCCATTCCAAATGGTTAAATTTACATAATTATTTTATGGCCATAATTATTTTAAACATATATAGTAAATCCTGCTACTAAAACAGTATTTTAGTTATTCCATATCATGCGGGAGAAACAAACATTGTCACTTTAAGCTGATAAAGTGTTTTTAGGTGCACAAAATATTGCACAATATACTGACTGACTGATAAAAATACATCGCCAAGAAAGTCCATGCAAGTCTAGAAATGCCCATTAGATTTCATCAGCTTCAGGAAATCAAGCATTTTCAGGGCTAAAAGATAAATATATGCCATTAATGTTTTTTCAGTATACAAACCATCATAGTGTGGTCACTTTTGTCACATTTTAGCAATATTCCAGCAACATCCGCTGATACCAGAAGAGTCAGCATTTTGGGGATTGAACACACGAAACACTAGGCTACCCCACACCCTGCACAATATAAGTATAAAAATACCACATCGTCTTTGAGAAACGCCCATTGCCACATTCGGAGTCAGCATTTTCAGGTGCACAAAATATTGCCATATCAGTATACAAACCATCATGTGTGGTCATTGTCACATTAAGCTGATAAGGAGTCAGCATTTTGGGGGACACAAAACATAATATATATATGGCTGCACATAAGCATAAAAATTAGCATATGTAGTATGAATGTCTATTGTCACAGAGTTCGTGTTTAAAGGACGCAAAATATTGCACAACGTAAGTACAAAAAAAATGCATTTGGGGTTTAACGGGATGCAAACAACTACAATCAATCAGCATTAATGAACACATTTTGACTTTTAGAAAGGGGCCAAATGCAATATATGTTATGGATCAGTAAAGAACAGATCACAAAGTACGTGAGCTAGTGAGTGAGTGAGAGTGTAGTTTAATGCCGCTTTAAGCAATATCATGGGGGGGGGGGAAGACACCAGGCATGGGTTTGACACATTGTACCCATGTATGGCAATCAAACCCGTGTCTTTCATGTGACTAACGTTTGAACCACTAGTCTACTCCACTACTGACTGCTGACTTTGAACTGGCGACTAGGTGCCTTACTCTTAGAATGTGGGTTTGAATTCCAGATGAGACTAAGCCCCGAAAAAGTACTATTATCAGTACGTTACCGAGAGGGCATAACCTCTAATGCTGCAATAGGCATTAAAATCACAATTGAAAGTAAATCACTTGCTCTTTAAGTTCAATTAATTACAAAGACAAACAAATTTCGTTAACTTTTAACTCACATAGTACTCTCAGACAGTGTCCTTCCTGAGCTGCTAGCTGCAACTATCTAGCAGTCCAAGGCAAACAGGCGACACTTATACTGCACAGAAGAGTTCATTATCAAACTGATGGGAGACAGGATACTATTTCAATGTGTCTGCCTTAAAGTGACCACCATACGACTGATTTGTGGCAAGTTGTTTTGAGCGTTTGGGTCAAACATACTTTATTGCCAATATCATTGGAAGGGGAAACTTACATGAACCTTTTCAAAAATTGACACTGACACAGTGATCAGTCGTCATATGGAATAATATTAAGATAAATTTTTGGGTCAAATTTGGGGAATTATAATCTGTAGCAGATAGTCAGACATAACACTGACACATTTCAATTGACTTATGACTAGTCAATTCATGAAAAGATTGTAGAAATTTGCTGAGCGTAGTCTATTAGTTTGACACAAGTAAGAATTTGATGCATGAAAGATTGCGCAAGTATAGTGCCATACATTTCTGTAATTCAACAGACTTGTCCTCCCTGCTGATATAATAGTATATCCAAAAAACAGAGGCTATTCAATGCCTCAGTGCATTCCCCAGGAATACATGTTTCTTGGGGTTAAACTCTGTAATTCCCCAGGAATATGCTGTTTTTCTGTGAAATGAACTTTGTATATCTCACAAAGGCCTATAGATATCCTATCTTGTACGCACACAATAACAAGATAATACAAAGACACAAACTGTATAGTTGATATATTTATTTTCATTTTCTTTGTGATAGATTATTAACATGTGCCATATAGTGAGTGAGTGAGTGAGTAAGCTGTGCTTACTGCTGCTTTGAACAGTATTTCAGTTATGACATGATTTGTTGCTTAGATGTGGGATGAGTGAGTGAGTTGGGTTTAATTCTGCTTTCATCAGTATATCAGACAGACAGACAGGTTTTATATGATACGTTTCTTAATGACAACTATTGGTCATGTGGCATAAGAAAGGCTTTACATGTGATTTAAGAATGGACATCAAATGTTTTATGAAAAAAGCAACACATTTGATAATATCAGCATTAAGTAGATTATACATTGTTTGTGGGGTATCATTAGGACAATTTTTAATACTTGAATCTTCACAGACTAAATAATATGTGAAATATGTCTTCAGTTTTATCAGAAGAACAATGAGAACATGATAAATCTTCCACTGTATTGTTATCTTTACTGCTGAGACCGGTAAAGGTTAGAATATTGATCTCCAGTAACCCATGCTTGTCGTAAAAGACAACTAACGGAATCGGGTGGTCAGGCTCGGTGACATGGTTGACATATGTCATCGGTTCCCAATTGCGCAGATCGATGTTCATGCTGTTTTTTACTGGATTATCTGGTCCAGACTTGATTATTTACAGACCGCCACTATATAGCTGGAATATTGTTGAGTGCAGCGTAAAACTAAACTCACTCACTCAGTATACTGAGATCAGTTTTAGACAAGTAGTACATGAAAAGTTCATATCAATCATAAGAATTCAAGATATATGAGCTGATTTGAACAGACAGTTTATAACATAATATATGGGTACTTCTTTCATTAACATATACTCCAATGAGCTCTAGATTTGATGATCATTATAATGACAATGACACAGCTCAATGGCGTTGGATAATCATAATAACACACCTCAGTGGTGTTGGATAATGGAATTCTTAGTTAAATGTAAGCCCATCTGTAAAACAAAGCAAATCAGTGGCCAGGCTTCATACCCCATGTCACTTCTAACTTTCCACCCATATAAATCACACATGTGATAAAGCTGATATAATGAAAGATATTCATATTTAGAATTGGTCGGACCTGTGAGGATTCGGGATAGAATTGATTGATTGAGGTTAGAATTGAGGCTACTAACGGGATCGGGTGGTCAGGCTCGCTGACTTGGTTGACACATGTCATCGGTTCCTAATTGCGTAGATTGATGATCATGCTGTTGATCACTGGATTGTCTGGTCCACCAGACTCGATTATTTACAGACCGCCACCATATAGCTGCAATATTGCTGAGTGCGGCATAAAAATTAAACTCACCCATTCACTCGGAATTGGTCCGAAACAGTAAATTCATCCAGTTTTCTTAGTCATTATTCACAATGTAAATTGATGTTCGGGCCCAAAAGATATATCAGTGTTCTTAATGATAAGTCACTTTTGAGAATTTTTTTGTAAATTTAGAATCTCTCTACATGTCTTAAAAATACAACGTTTTAGTACAGATAACAATACAGTGGAAGATTTAACATGTTCTCATTGTTCTTCTTATAAAACTGAAGACATATTTCACATATTATTATTAAAAATTGTCCTAATGATACCCCACAAACAATGTATAACCTACTTAATTCAAATAATGCTGATATTATCAAATCTGTTTTTGTTTCCATAAAACATTTGATGTCCATTCTTAAATCACATGTAAAAGCTTTCTCATGTCACTTGACTGAATAGTTGTCCAGAGTTCATGTTAAAGTCATACATGTACTTCAGTCAATGGCAATATACATGATATAAGAATTCTTGATAGCATTAATGATACGTCATCTAATAAATATGCAAATGACGTTCCTTTGCATAAATGACTTACAATATCCTCCATATGAGGGATGGTACAATTCACTTGGTGTATTTTGTGAATTGAACCCTATCTCTTAATGAATTCTGTTTGTTATTCACAATAGCAAGGATAGAATATTTATGAATATATTAATAAAAAGTGTTTTCACTGTAATTTGCATGTTATTTATCAAAATATAACAAGCAAAAATATTTTAAATATTTATTCTAAATAAATCGTAATTAAGTGCACTTGTCATATATCTTAATACTGTGTGCAAAACATATAACTTCTTTAATCCATATGAATAATATTTAGGTTCACATTTGTCTTTATATTATACATCAGTGTTGCAATTTCTAATAGCTAAGCTAATGTTTTCAATATAATGATGCCGACTCCCGCTAGACTAGAAGGTTAAACCGAAATGTTTGTGAAAAACTGTTTTCATATTGCAGCAATAAAAATTCAAATTACTGTCCTTTCGTCCATCTTTCAAAATAAATAATATAGCTTCAGTTTTAATACAAGACAAATCTTATGGATAACAACTTCTTGATTTATGTTATCCATAAGATTTGTCTTGTATTACTACACCAACTTCTAAATGCCTTTGAAGAATTTAGCTTCAGTTTGTTCCTGTGTTTTTATTTGGACTATTCCATAATAATGTGTAGGTAACAGGTAGTAGATAATCTGTTCACTGAACCTTAAATGTTGTTGTTTTAAGGTGTCTGCGAACTGGCTGTCTGCGTAATGGGAGGACACCGAATATATCCAAGCCAGGCAGGATAACAGCCAACACTCTTCTATATACAAACTGATAGTAATATGGTCACTTGTCATTATTGTGATAAATTAACACTGTCTGATGTAGAGAAGTTGTGGAAACATTGGTTTCTCAGCACAGTTCATGTGAGATGAACATAAACAAATGCTGCATTTGTGGAAAACACTTCAATAATTTCATTGCATTATTTCCACATGCAGAAACTGAAATTCTAACAACTGCATCAGTGTATGATTTTCTTTCACTGGAGGTACAGTGTAGGCCTTTGTTTGCTAGAGCAAGAAAACATTTTACTTTTATTCCCGTTGACCAATACTCATGGGCCTAGATTTTCTATATAGATTTTCTATATATATATATATATATTGTTGACCAATATTTGTGGTTTGGACTAATATTTGTGGTCCTCATTTATAGTCTGTTTGCAAAGCGTACCAATGAATTTCACTTTAAACAAAAAAGTAAATCAAATAAAATGAAATTGAGATTGCTAATCCTCATAACTTTACCTTGCCAATTGACATTTAAATCTCAGAATTTTACTCAACGTAGAATAAAAGTTGTTTAACAAAGGATTATAGTTTCAAATCAGTATTATTGGTTTGTATTACAAGGGGGTAAGCGCAGTAGTTGGAACAGTGAAACAAATGCACGTGCGGTACGTGATGAGAGTTAACTTCGACCAAACCTACATGTTCTTGGTGTTTCATTTAATGTGCATACCCCCTTGTAATACAAACCAATAATAGCAATTTGAAACTATGATTGTTTGTTAAACAACTTTTTATCCTAAGCTGAATAGAATTCTGAGATTTAAATGTTCAGTTCACTGCAAACAGACTATAATTAATATGTGTACTTGAAGGAAAACCAAGTTATATGGATAGTCAACTTCTTTATTGCAATGTCGAGTGCGTCGTTTCGATGTAGGTACTAATACCATTATCAAGCAAGTGATACAAAGAGTTGTAACATGGAGAATATATACATAGCTGCATAGTGTGTGTATACAATTGACCGATATACATTGGATTGCTAATTAGTGATTTGAGCAGAGTAGGTTGATGTACAGAGTGATAGTGATTAAAACTATATGCAGAATGAGTTTATACAATAGATGAGTTGATGTACACTGAGATGGTAATCGTGAGTTGAAGAGAGTAGGATGATGTACACATTAACTGGTTGTGATTACAATACACAAAAGGGTGCATAGAAGCCAATTGGACAAGGTATGGGTGGATTACTGGTGACTGCAATAAAGAAGTTGACTATACATAGAACTTGGTTTTCCATCATCTATACAACTTCTAAAATGCCTCTCAAAGAAATATGTGTACTTGCTTCAAAACATGATTATTGCTGAAGGAGTCGTTGTCGGCAAGGGTACTACAGATGTGTACCCCAGGTATGTTTCTGTTTAAAGACACGTACCCTAGCCAAAATCAGAATACAGAAACGTACCCTTGGACGATTCCATTCTGCATTGTGGAGTTTTCTTGATCAGAACTGTCATACTGTTGTATTAAGATGCATTTAATTGCGTTATATAAGAGCATACACAGTAACGAATATTTCACGGTGCACAAGGTACACCACTCGCAATCATCTGAACGGGAACAACTACATACAGTTTTGGTTTTGGGTTGCGGAATATGGACTCGTCCGTCGTTTTGGGTACCGGGTACGTTTCTGTAGTTTGTCTTTGTTTAGGGTACATGTCTGTATACAGAAACGAAAACGAACCTGGGGTACATATCTGTAGTACCTGTGCCGACAACGACCCCTTCAGCATGATTATCCTACTTGCGGGATCAATTATTTAGCCGAGTTTACATATTTTCAGGACCGCCTCCGTGGTGTAGTGGTTAGAGCGTCCGCCCGGAGAGCGGAAGGTCGCGGGTTTGATCCCCGAACGCGTCATACCAAAAGACGTTAAAATATGGTACTTGTTGGTCCCTGCCTGGCGCTCGGCATTAATGGGTACAACAAGGACTGGTCGGCTCGGAGTCAGTATAATGTGTCAGAGTGGGGTATTCATGCTTCACTGCGGCATTGTATCTCAGTGGGCTAGCACTATAAAACCAGCTTCAGTCTGGGGTAGTACAAGCAGCCGCACATAAACATACACATGCATGCACGTCGTCATATGAGCAAAATATTCTCAAGCACGATGTTAAACCCAATTTCACCTCACCTCACCTCACATATTTTCAGAATAAGATAATCTAGTTCCCCATTTAGTTTCCTATCCATATTCAAAGAGAATCATGTTTAGTTCCCCATATATTATATATTGTGAGAGAATCACATTTACTAAATGATTTAGCTCCCAATATAGTTCCTCATCTGTATTCAAAGAGAATAACGTTTAGTTCACCATTTTAGCATATTTTTCATGTGCAATTGGAAGGGCATACTGAATATAACTGATATGTCTTGAGACTAAACAGATATCTGGGATAACAAATCATGTTTTAGGTGTCAAGATATAAAGTAAATAGTTGACCACCTGTTTACACCCTCATCGTCAGATAAGCCATGAACGACAAAATTTGCAAGATGCAAAAAAGTAACCGTGTCTCTCCATAAAACACCGAGTGAACCAAGCTAGATCTTTGAATACGCTTTAAAACGGATATACAATGGCACTACAGTAACACCACTGTCATGGCGGCTGTGACCGTCGTTTTGATAACCCGGTTCCACCCCACTTCTTACCTCGCATCTGCCATGTTGGACAAGTGTAAATTTGACCCTCGACCTTGAGGGCGAAGCATTCATTGGCTGAAGTACCGACGGTCGCTGGGGTCAAAGGTTGTAATATGTGGAGTGCCCGTGTGTACTTTGGTCGTGTTTCATATGTTTGTCATCATTTTGTCCGCAATATAAGTACAGAAACAAGCAAGAAGATGCGATTTGTGCAGTTTGAAGTGAATGGTGCACAGAAGGTTGGTGTGGAATTATCCGATGGAGGTGACATTGTCGACTTAAATGAAGCCGACAAAGAAATTCCACACGATCTAAGAAGCTTCATTGCGGGAGGACAGGCTCAGTTGTTGAGGGCCAAGAGGTAGGGGTAAAAATGTCGCCCATTGAAATGTGAATATTTTATGAGCGTTTCATTCGTTGTTTCCACGTTCATTGACCATCTGCAGATTGAAATACACAATGCCATTTAGAAAGTGGTCAAATGTAACATATGTTATATTTGGGATTACACTTTCTTTGTAAAGTACAGATTCTAGTACTTTTGTTGGATTGAGTCCCATTCGGATTCGAACCCACACCCTCAGAGTCAGGCACCTAATCGCCAGCACACAAAGTCAGATGCCAAGACTGCTCAGCAACGGCGGCTTCCACAAAAATGGAAGTCGGACAACTGGTAGTCTAGACTGCGGACTTTGTGTTGGCCGTGGGAGCCGTGCCAATTAACACTTATCAGGGGGGGTACACAAAGTCTGCAGACTAGACTACCAGTTGTCCGACTTCCATTTTTGTGGAAACCGCGGTGGCTGAGCGGTCTTGGCGTCTGACTTTGTGTGCTGGCGATTAGGTGCCTGACTCTGAGGGTGTGGGTTCGAATCCTGAATGGGACTCAATCCAACAAAAGTACTAGAATCTGTACTTTACAAAGAAAGTGTAATCCCAAATATAACATATGTTACATCTGCAGATTTTCTGTCGTTTTAAAGGCATGACAAATCAGTCATGTTTCCTCCCAAAAGAAATAGCATACCATTACCTGTCTTAATATTTGTGACACTCTGATCAAAATTGTGAATAAAGAATTTAAGAACTTTCACATCCAACATTGCAAGTTAATCAATTTTGCTCATTTCAGACAAAGTATTTAGTGAGTGATTTGGGTTTTACGCCACACTCAGCAATATCCCTGCTATATGGTGGCGGTCTGTAAATAATCGAGTCTGGACCAGACAATCTAGTGATAAACAGCATGAGCATCGATCTACGCAAGTGGGAACCGATGACATTGTCAACCTAGTCAGCGAGTCTGACCACCCGATCCCATTAGCTACCTCTCACGACAAGGATGAGTTACTGAAGATCAATATTCTAACCCAGATTTTCACGGATAACAAAGTATTTAGCACGTATGACATGAAAAAAGGCCTGTTTCATTGCAGCGCTGTAGAGAGTGGACACCACATCATGAAACGAGATGGTGTCCGGCTGCTTGCTCCTATTACAGCCCCTGAGAAGGTCATCTGCATCGGCATGAACTACATAGACCACTGCAAAGAACAAAACGCCCCTGTCCCAGTGGAGCCAGTGATATTCAGCAAGTTTGCCAGTGCCATTGTTGGACCCTATGATGATCTGCAGTACTGTGACGAAACACAGGTAGGCCCATGATGATCTACATTTACTATGATGAACACAGGTAGGGCCATGATGATCTACATTTACTATGATGAACACAGGTAGGGCCATGATGATCTACATTTACTATGATGAACACAGGTAGGCCCATGATGATCTACATTTACTATGATGAACACAGGTAGGGCCATGATGATCTACATTTACTATGATGAACACAGGTAGGGCCATGATGATCTACATTTACTATGATGAACACAGGTAGGCCCATGATGATCTACATTTACTATGATGAACACAGGTAGGCCCATGATGATCTACATTTACTATGATGAACACAGGTAGGCCCATGATGATCTACATTTACTATGATGAACACAGGTAGGGCCATGATGATCTACATTTACTATGATGAACACAGGTGGGGCCATGATGATCTACATTTACTATGATGAACACAGGTGGGGCCATGATGATCTACATTTACTATGATGAACACAGGTGGGGCCATGATGATCTACATTTACTATGATGAACACAGGTAGGCCCATGATGATCTACATTTACTATGATGAACACAGGTAGGGCCATGATGATCAGGTAGGGCCATGATGATCTACATTTACTATGATGAACACAGGTGGCCCTGATGATGATCTGACATTTACTATGGAACACAGGTAGGCCCATGATGATGTGGCTGGTGATCTACATTTACTATGATGAACACAGGTAGGGCCATGATGATCTACATTTACTATGATGAACACAGGTAGGCCCATGATGATCTACATTTACTATGATGAACACAGGTAGGCCCATGATGATCTACATTTACTATGATGAACACACAGATGGGGCCATGATGATCTACATTTACTATGATGAACACAGGTGGGGCCATGATGATCTACATTTACTATGATGAACACAGGTGGGGCCATGATGATCTACATTTACTATGATGAACACAGGTGGGGCCATGATGATCTACATTTACTATGATGAACACAGGTGGGGCCATGATGATCTATAGTACTGTGAAGGATCCTGTGAATTTGTGTTCGAGCTAAGTGCAGGTTGGGTGTGGGCTGCAGGTGTGCGAGTGTTGGGTGTGGGGGTGGGATTTGAGTGGGTGTGGTCAGTGGCAAATGTACCCTCCAGCTATGTGTAAGTAACCTCACCCCACTTATTGTCATCTTCTGTTGCAGGAACTGGACTGGGAGGTGGAGATGACAATTGTCATCGGGAAGACTGGAAGACATATTAAGGTAACACACGTGTATCAATCACCACTTTCATCATATTGCTTGGCACAGGCATGCATATCAATGTTGTTTACAGAAGTACATGGTTACCTATTTAGAATTTGATGAAATATATATGTTTTGTGAAATATGAAACTCATAATGTCACACTTCATGGATTTATTAGGAAAACGCCTGTCGGAGGTTACTGGAACAAAATATATATATATATGAAAGCAATTCAGGTTTAAATGTTTTTAGTTTTCTCAATATTGGCTGACATGACCGACCAATAAGCTGCAAGTATTTCTGTATTTTTGTAAACAAATGATGTTGGTGATGAACACCATCATCTCCTTATATGTACATGTTTTAACTTGGGCAGTGGGTGGCCAAGTGGTTAAAGCATTCGCTCATCACACTGAAGACACAGGTTCGATTCCACACATGGGTATAATGTGTGAAGCCCATTTCTTGTGTTCCAAGCCGTGATATTGCTGGAATATTGCTAAAAGTGGCGAAAAACTATATTCACTCGTTCACTCACATATTTTAACAATCCCTGAAAATTGTATGTCCGATGTTAATATAGAAATCAACTAAATAAGTTCATAGAATTCTTTAATTCTTCAAAAATCTCTGTCCACAAGAATCTTTGTAATTATACTGATATCATCATGAAAGTTGTTAAAGCTCCCTGTTGATAATCTATCTGTCTCATTATGTTGTGAGTGTTTGTACCTCATATGCCAAGGTCCGAGTGAGATAAATTTCTCTTCTGTTAGGTGGGTTCTGGGTGTCAAAACAGTTGGTCTTAAATAAATGTTTGCATGAAACCTGCACAATCTGAGATGTAGTAGTTTACATGATAAACAACATTGTAAATCATTATCAGACATCTTATTGCAAGAAATATGTAACTATGGTTACTTCATCAGTATCATTACTCCCAAATTTCGAATATTTTTTAGAAATGTGTGGTGAGTTATCATGAATGTTTACAAGGCTAATTTTGTATATATATATATGTATGTCCTCATGTGTGTCCTCATATGTGTGTCCTCAGAGGGAGGACGCCATGAGTCACGTGTTTGGCTTCACCGTGGCACACGATGTCAGTGCCCGAGACTGGCAGATGAAGAAAAATGGCGGCCAGTGGCTTCTGGGTAAAACAATGGACTGTTTCTGTCCTCTCGGGCCGGCTGTCGTCATGAAGGAAGATATCAAGGGTAGGCAAACATATTCTGTTACAGTCTGTTCTTGATACAGACAATTCTGGTGTACACCGCTATGATATTGCTGGAATATTGCTAAAAGCAGCATAAAAGTAAACTCACTCACTCACTCTTGATACAGAGCTCTTCAGGCCCCAATCCGACCTGTGGGTACAGGACAGGAAACATGTTATACAGACATATGATTGCACACCAGAAATGGCAGGGATTATCTAGCAGGGCATGAAGTCATCTTACATATGACATCCTTTACTTGTCAGCTTGTTGTCTACAGGAAATGTTATACAGACATATGATTGCCTAGCAGGGTATCTAGCGGGCATGAAGTCATCTTACATATGACATCCTTTTCTTGTCAGCTTGTTGTCTGGGTTAATGTGAAGCCCATTTCTGGTATCCTAGTGGTTAAAGCTATTGCTAAAGCGGCGAAACCAAACTCAGTCATGTCAGTCTGGGTTAATCATTTTGGTCATGTCCCCATCTGATCCTGGAGGAATATTGCTAAAGTTTGGTTTTAAACTCAGTCAATCATTCTGGCAATATCATTTTGGTCATGTGGACATCTGATCCTGGAGTAGAAGATCTGTGGTTTAAATCCCAACATGGGATATGTGGTGGCATCCCATCTTGTAAGTCTTCAAGGTCCAGACTGCAAACCACTGGTATAAGGCAGGGACCCCACCCACAGAGCTCTCATAGCACCACACCATTTGTAAGTCAGTGTTAGAGTGTAGAGTTACGATGAGTCGTAATGGTACAAATGCTTTGTGGATCAGGGCCTAGATTTTCGAAGTTCTCTTAGCGCGAAGATAGTCGTAAGTCCCATACATTAACATTAACTTACGACTATCTTAGCACTAAGAGAGCTTAAAAAATCTAGGCCCAGGACCCTGGTGTCCTGGGGTAATTCTATGATAAACTGTATAGTTACGATAGCTCATAAGGCTACACGTAAGAGGAGGGTGGTCAGGCGTTCACACATGTCATCGGTTCCCGATTACGCAGATCGATGCTCATACTGTTGATCACTGGATTGTCTGGTCCAGACTCGATTATTTACAGACCTCCGCCATACAGTTGGAATATTGCTGAGTGCAGCGTAAAACTAAACTCACTCATAAAGCTACAAATGCTTTGTGCATCGGAATTCTGGAATATTGTTAAGTGCAGGAGTGAAAGTCATTCATTCACTCACTCACTCCTCTCCTGAACAACATAAGTTAGGGCTACTGAACATTTTGGATATATGTATGAAATTCTGTGTCCAGTATCCAAAACAAAATCATGATGATTAACTTTTTTTGTTCAGTATATCAATTTTACATGTCACTCTGCAACTCTGGTTTAAGGTCAATGGGGTGACTAAGCAGAACATTTCTACCATGTTCCATAACTTTTGTTGTTCAGTATATTAGTGGTGGTCCGATTAATTGAAATAATCAAAGATTGGTCGTAGTGGCTAAACGACCAAGCAATCGATCATAATTTCTCATAATCGAACACAAACAATTCTGGAACACTTGTTTTCATTAACAATATTTTTCACGTGGTTGGTTTTGTCTGTTACATTTCGTAAGCACTACAAGCTCGTTTCAAGTCATGATTGAATTTATCTTAAAGATTCCAAGAAATTTATGTTCCTAACATACTAGTAATCCTTTAAAGAACCAATAAACTTTGTTTTTGTTACTCTTTTAACCATTACATATGAAAGATTTGTGGTTAGTCTTATGCGGAACAGCAAATTTATTCTTTAAAACTTGTGGTTAATTAATACCGAGCGATTAAAAGTGGCCAAAAGTCGCCTGCTTCCCTCTCGCCCGCCAACGAAACCACAGACAGGTTACGTAACTCTGTCGCCAGAGCACTGCAGTGACGTCATATGAGGAACGATTTTCAGTTAGTTGTTCAGAAAGTGTAGCACGCTCATCATTTGATGATTTCTCGACATCAACGACGACATGCCGAATCGTTGCCTTGTCGTCAATTGCTCCTAGGGGTCGGGCGATGGTGCGTGACCATGCACAGATTTCCACAGGACCCCGCAGTTCGTGCTAAATGGTTTATGTTTGTGGAGTGCGAAGCGAGCGTTGTGGAAGCCTGAAACGATATCTTACTTGTGTTCAGATCGCTTCACGGAAGTTAAAGAATCAAAACTACTTACTAGTTGTAGTAAAATATGTATATGATTGATGACCATAAAGATTTTCTATGACACAACTTGTAACATAACGATTTCTTCCTCGAAGTGAGGTTGTGGTCGAAGTAACAATAATATTGTAAGTAGTATTATATTGACACCCACCTCGCTGCCACGAGAAATTGTTATGATATACGCTTATGTCATGCAAAATCCCATTACCATCAATCAAATACATATTTTACTACCAGTAAAAGTAGTTTTGATTTTGTAACTCGGTGAAACAAACCTAAATACCATTTATCGTCAGACTGGCGGATGTTCCCGACAGGGCGCCGCCATTTTTAAAAATAAAAAATCTGTTAGAATTAATGAGATTATAGTTTGTTTTCACTGCTAGAAAATCAAGACTACTTTCTACTCGTTGTTAAATATGTATTGGAATCATAACCAAACGGATTTTGCATGACACAACTTATAACATAACGATTTCTTCCACGGAAGCGAGGTGGGGGTCAAAGTCACAATACTGCGCGATAAATTTCTTGCTACATTCCCATTGTTAATGTCCACTCACCAGTATGTAGATACTTAGTCAATGTGCGTCTTTTTATTTGGTCTTATAATCCTAATTAGTTTATTATCACACTTGTATGCATTTTGAAACTAAATAAAAGCAGACGATCTGCTGATACTTATAGTGAATTTATAACAGAACTGTAATATCTAGACATTTTATAGTTTGCCATTGTGAATCATCATAATTCACACACACACCTAGTGCATGTTGTCTGTCTCATTACACTTCACGGCGAAAACAATGATTCTGTTGAATGCTACGACAAAATGAATAAAAACAAAATGCAAATATTAAAATTAAAACAGATTAAAGTTATAGGAACAATATCAGGCCATTACCTTGTTCGAGGAATGTATCCATCAATATCCACAAAACTGTTCCAAATGATGTGTCTTTTAACAGTTTAATATACGAAAAAGTGATAAATCTTTTCAGGTATTGGTGTATAGTCTCATTGGTCACCCAAGATAGCACACCTGGCAACTAATTGCATAATGTCCGCCTTTCTTTAAAACAGTAATTTAGTTAGCCAATAATGGGCAATCAATCAATGTATTGCCAGTTAATCCTTTGAAAGAAGGATGTTGTTTTTACGCAGACACCGACACGACAGAGTGTATTCAGTAAAGATTAGTAAATCTACATACATAAACACTACCTTTGACAATTCTGCTGTGTAAGATAAAAGTAATTAATCAATCAGCTGTTATCGGTTAATCCTTTGATCGATGTTTATAATGTTGAATATTTACTCCAGACACAAGAAATGCCAAATGGGAACCTTTGTCGGGTAATCTAAGTGTGTTACCACTAATTATACCTGTTATAAAGTCATTAACTGACCATCAAGTGAATGATGACAAATAACATGTGTAGGTTTATACCACCTAACACGGGTTACAACGAGGGAGTATTAATTGCTGTATTGCATGTGAAAACTTATGGGCCGACACTGTTTTGAGAATACAAACAGATTTTTACATGACATGATTAAATATCGAGGTAAAACAACACAGAAATGGGATCAATTTGGATCAGTCATTACACAAATAGGGCCTAACGACACCAATCGATTTTGACAGAATCGCTCTATGAAAACAAGTTGTAACTCGAAACTAGGGCAAAGCAGGAGACAAAATTAAATGACAGTAGATTGTGAGAACATATAGCTTTCATTTTCCACAACAATTGTCACGATTTTTTCAGGTTTATACAAGCCTGTAGACAATGATAATTTACCCCTAAAATGTAGATGAATTCTGCATCGCCTCTCAAAGCTATTCCCTCATATGACGTCACAGAGGCGCGCCGCTTGATTGGTTGAAATTTTGTTCGGGTGGGTGAGAATTGTGCACTGTTGTCAAAAAGGTCGATTTAAGTCAATTAACCTTTAAAGATGTGAAACTTTGCCCAAAAAACTTCAGAAGAACTTCATTTTTTCTCCCTTATTTTAATCTGCATTCACAAATTCCATAAATGACGCTAACCAATTATTTTTGATGATTGATCGGTAGTAATGAACCAATCATCAATTATGAGATTTTAACCAATACCCAACACTACAGTATATACATTTTCTGTAATTGTGGTGTAAGGTCAATGGGGTGACCAAGCAGGACAGCTCTACCATGATCCATAACTTTTGTTGTTCAGTATATACATTTTCTGTAATTGTGGTGTAAGGTCAATGGGGTGACCAAGCAGGACAGCTCTACCATGATCCCTATCTTTTGTTGTTCAGTATACATTTTCTGCGACTGGTGTAAGGTCAATGGGGTGACCAAGCAGGACAGCTCTAGCATGATCCCTATCTTTTGTTGTTCAGTATATCAATTTTACATGTGACTCATGAGGCTGTTGTTTCCAGATCCCCACAATCTGCGACTGTGGTGTAAGGTGAATGGGGTGACCAAGCAGGACAGCACTACCAGTAATCTTGTCCACAAGACAGAGGAGCTGCTGGTGTTTCTGTCAAGGTCAGCATTTCCAGTTATCTCTCCATAGCTTTGAACATTTTGATAATATGTGTAAATATATATAGTTGAGCCTGTTAATGGGATAACTTGCAACCTTGGATAACTCAAAGTAGTTGCATAGGCATACAATGCATTTGATCAGGTATAGATTATTAGTCTTAGTTTACTTTTTAATCGAATTTTAGATCTGGAAATTTGGGGGTAAATACAAACTATTTGAAATACATGTATTTTGTGAACTTTAGATGCCTTAGCTAGGCTGAAGGGGTCGTTGGCATGGCTACTACAGATCTGTATACAGAAACGTATCTTAGTTGGATATTTTGTTTGGGATGAAGCAGTGACATGAACCTGTATTCTGTTAATACTTGCGATATATATTGCTGTGATATAGCCAGGCACGTAGCAATCCACTTTTCTTCGTGTAAGCCTGATAAGTTGCAATGGGGCTAATTTATGAAAAGTATTGAAAAGATGAAATTGTAGAATTATGGTAAGGTAGATATGGTTTCGGTGGGACCTTTGAAAAGCCCCCTGTTCCTACGCCCCTGCCACAACACATGCACGATATTTGCACATGCTTTTAGCAATTTAATGCATGATCCTCGTGTATGCAATTCATCTGCATAAAGTTTGCAGTTGGTTCCCTGAAGTTAGTGGAGAAATTCATCTCCAAAGTAACCACACATATATGCATAACATATAGTGAGTGCTTTAAGTGAGTCTAAACTCTTGATGGGTAGTATACATCTGTGGTGATACATCTAGTTTAATGAATTAACCCACTTCAACTCTCACATGAGTTCATGAGTTATCTCCCTTAAATATTTCTGTCACCAGGTTCCTCACTCTGAGACCAGGAGATATCATCCTAACAGGAACTCCCCCTGGTGTTGGAGTTTTCAGGAAACCCCCAGAGTTCCTTAAGGTAGCGTTCGATAAACCAGATATATTTCCTGTCGGCGTAATCATTACAGATAGTATTTTCACATGCTCATGCTGTTTATCATGTGATTGTCTGGTCTGAACTCGATTAGTTACAGATCTCTTCCTTACAGCTGGAATATTGCTGAGTGTGACGATGAACAAGTGAACAAAGTACTGGAACACAGGCCTATGAGAGTCGTAGTGTTATCATTATAGCTCTACAATATTTATAGAATGGTGAATTTTAGAGTTTGAAGCAGACATTTGACAGTTTGACAGAAGCATTCATATGCCATGATAATCCTGTAGTAAACCACCCCCAACCCAATGTGAGGGGTTAATCAGGAATATGTATACCGGTACCCTACTTTGAGTCCACACTTCATGGTGCTGAATCCAGATGGGGATTGGGGTGGTGGAGTAGCCTAGTGGTTAAAGTGTTCACTTGTCATGCCGAAAACCTGGGTTCGATTCTCCTCATGGGTACAGTGTGTGAAGCCCATTTCTAGTGTCCCTGCCATGATATTGGTAAAAGCAGCGTAAATCGAAAACTCACTCACCAGATTGTATTTAGGGTGTCCAGTCCTTTTTGAAGCCCATTAATCATGATAACACATTAACAAATATGAAAGCAATTGTAAATCATTCGGCGACATCTTTTTCAGCAAAAGTAACAACTGACTGACTTATGTTCTTACTTACAAGTGCAAATTGTTTCCTGAATTGTGGTATTTTTTCTTTTTTTGTAAAGTCCAACACCTTCCCTTACCTGCTCCTTTAAAGAAAAAGCTAGTGTACTCCCTAAAAAAAGGTTGTGCTGACCTTGCATTTTGTAGCATTAAGAATTGTTACAAATTATGTGAAATCCATACTAAGGCCAGACCAATTTTATTTCTTGTTTTACAGAGTTTTGTCCTTAGAAAACCTAGAGGCAGGAGGGGAAAAAAAATCACCAAAGTAATATTCCTTTCAAATGCTAAAAGTATTTTACTTTTGGCAATTTGTTAACTGTTTATTTTTGGAGTGGGGAAAATTTAGTTTTATTTTTTCTAATTCTTGAAAAAATATGGTTGGTGGATACGTACAAGAAATATAATTGGTCTGGCCTAAGCAGGATGTGATAAATGGCAATATTGCAACTGACAAGTACAGTTTTCCTTGTCATAAATGTCTACAATAACTATGTATGTATATATATATATGTATATTCATGTCTGTTTCAGAGAGGAGACGTTGTTGAATGTGGAATTGAAGATATTGGCAAAACCATCAACAATGTTGTTTGAGACAGAATATAACATCTTAATGGAAAATTCAGTATTGCTGGATGACAGGGTCTTTTACTTTGAAACAGCTTGTCTATGTATACAATCAGATTCATTCCAGTTATTCAGATGCATGCTTAACTCAGGTGTGTTGAATATTTGCATAAAATATCCAGTACAAATTTGATTTTATCAACTGACCACTAAGTTACTTGTGTACAAATATGCATGAAAGATTTTGTAGTATTACTGCACTGGGCAGGAGTACACAATGTTTCTTTTCAACAGAGGTGCCTATTTTCCTTTAAAGATCATATAATTTTACGATCAAATGCAAGCACAGTAGTTATGTGAGACTCGCTAATTGGTACATGTAATTACACCTGTATATGTTGCAGTTGTGAGTTTAACCAACATATTACACTCTTGGAGCTTATGTGACAGATACAAATAAAAAGTCACCTGAAACAGAATTTTGAGAAGAATTTTTTTAACTAATTGGTCTCTGGGGAGTAGATCAATGCTCAGGATGTTGACCACTGGATTGTCTTGTCCAGATTCGATCATTTACAGACTGCTGCCATATAGCAGGAATATTGCTGAGTGCGGCATTATACAGCAAACATGGGAGTTGAAATACCAAAAGACTAGACCCAAGCGAATAAAAATGTATTGAATACCAAATGAGACTATTAATACTCAAATAGCATTGGGAAAGATATTTTGTTCTTAAAAATATATCTTCAATGTGTATAACTTGTGTGTCATTGCTGATTGTCTCTAACATTATCTTGAGCCCTTGTCATGTTCAGTGACTAGTATTTCATGATTGTACAGATTACATTAATGATGATAATATATTGTTGCACATACTGAAGGATTAGCATTTCCTAAGAAAATGAGTTTAGTCAATGACTAAGTAATAGTTTTAATTATACCTTAAAGGATTGGGCGTGTTGCTTCATTTTAGCATTGGGAAATATATTTTGTTAAAAATATATCTCAAGGGTTTCAATCCGCAAAGCATTCATAATGTTATGGGGGCGGTGGGGCAGCCTAGTGGTTAAAGCGTTCGTTCGTCATGCCGAGGGTCCGAGTTTGATTCCCCACGTGGGTACAATGTGTGAAGCCCATTTGCGGTGTCCCCATGCTGTGATATTGCTGGAATATTGTAAAAGCGGCGTAAAAACCAACTCACTCACTCATTCATAATGTTATGACCTGTCATAACTCTATAGTTTATCATCTGCTTACAAATGTCGTTGTGCTTCGAAAGCTTTGTGGATCAGGACCCTAAAGAGTAGCTGTTGTTATAGCCACATGATAGCTGCTTCACCATATATTATGTCAGTTGTTTATGAACCGTAGCGTTGTGATATTAAACTGATAGTGTCAACAGTCTTTTAGTAATACAGTTTGCTGACCCCAGTTTGTGGTATTCTCGATGCCATAGTGCAATATCCTGGATTCCATGAAGTATTCTCTGGGAAATGGATGTCAAAATTTCAATGTTTAAGTTGTGTTTTTTCACAAAGAGTGACAAAGTAGCCCAATATTTAGCCCAATAGATATGAGCATACATGGCCATGCTTTCTATATGAAAATCCAGTTTAATTTATTTATACCAGCTGTGACCATTGTCATGACTCGAGAGGTCTTAAAGAGAATGCCAAGACAAATTAAGTAGTGCTGGATGCCAAGAGGGTGGAGTACAGGTTAGTACCCTCAACATTATGTGACTTGTGTCTAGAACCTGGATTAGACTAGATCCCCAACAGTCTGTTTCTTGTGGAAGCCGTGGTGGCTGAGTGGGTTAGAGTGCTGACTTTGTATGCTGGCATTAGGTGCCCGACTCAAGAGTGGTGGGTTTGAATCCCGGATGTACTAGAATCTGTATTTTACTTAGAAAGTGTAATGCCAAATATAACTATGCCTATGCCCACATTGCTACAGTAGCCATAGAAATATCTTTCACATATTTTAACAAAGATTCATTGTCTATTAACTTGTTTTCAAGGCTTAGTCTTCCATATTCAGAAGCACTTTATTTGTGGTGGAACAGGATTGTTGCGAGTGTATAACAGATCCTGGAAATATTTCTTTGTAAGTATCAAAATGTGTGTGATATCATAAGCAGATCTCATTCATCTTTCCGCATCAAATGTTGCTTGTTCTAATATTGATATGTCTGTGGTTGTTGATGGTGAGGTTTTTGTATAAACAGAATACATATTGTTTGTAACTTGTCATAACTGTTATTAAAAGATGAGGTATGAACCTGATTTTGTTGTCTATTTGTTGAGACAGTGTTGGTCGAGACTGGTTTATTTATTCCTGTATACTTTAATGCTGCAAGAAATCAATTCTTAAGATGTTGCCCATCGTAAATGCTTCCATTAATAAGCAATGTAGCGTTAGTGACCAAGAATGATAGCAGATGAAAATGTTAAAATATCTGTTTTGGATCCCTCAAGGGTGAAAAATATGCAGGTTAGATACTGATGATAGCTTCAGAAAACTTACTCACTCACCCTGTCCTGTTGACAACCAATGAAGACTGCAGTGCTGATACAGATATACAATAATAATTATAAGATGATGCAGGGTTCGAAATACCCCATATATTAGCCCTAAGATGATGACAATGACAGCAATAGTAACTAAGATGACATAATCATCATCAACATCATCATCATCATCATCATCATCATCATCAACAACAGGTAATATGTAATGTGCTGAACTCCAGACACATTGACTGTTTAAAGTGATATACGGTAGTATACACAAAAAAGAAACGAGGCGGTTGGGTAGCCCAGTGGTTAAGGCGTTTGCTAGTCATGCAAGAGACCCCGGTTCGATTCCCCACATGAGCACAATGTGTGAAACCCATTTCTGGTGTCCTCTGCTGTGATATTTGAGCCAGAAAGCTAAAATGAAGGAGAGTGAGTGAGAAGTATTTCATTTACATCACAGCATGTGAACTAGCTCTCAAAACATACCTGGAAAGGAATAATAGAACATAATTCAAATGAATTGTCAATTCAAACACAGTACTAGCAGAACCTGGCATGACTAAGGGATGTAACTCCATGTACAATAATTCAGTTTCAGGAACAGATGTCTGGACTCCGCTTACAATGCATATCTCACACTCAATCATAGTCCATTCAGCCAATGAAATTATCTTGACAAACCATTTTATTAATATCACATATGTCTTTGGGGGTTCTAGGCGGTGGGGTAGCCTAGTGGTTAAAGCGTTCACTCATCACGTCAAAGGCCCATGTTCGATCCCCACATGGGTACTATGTGTGAAGCCAATTTCTGGTGTCCCCACCGTGATATTGCTGGAATATTGCTAAACATGGTGTAAAAGTAAACTCACTCACTCACTTTTTAGGTTCTTTATTAAATAAATACATGACTTGGTTGCATTCCCATCAGGGATGATAATGAAGGGTAACTTCATAAATTGAACAATGAACATGGGGTACTCTGATACTCTCATATGTAGCTAGAGGTTTAAACTGACATGGTAAAGGAAGTGTTTGATTGTTCAAATGAGAAAATGAGAGCGATGATTTATTTATGAAGCAATAAATAGTTGGAGGCATTTGTGGAGTTTTATCTCAAGTGTGTGTCAAACTTGCAGTTTGATTTATACATAAACTGTATAACATTGTGTTACATGTTAAATGGTTTGTTCATTCATAAACTAGAAATCATACCACTGTTATAATAATTTAAGTAGAACTCAGCTGGTAATTTAACTGTTTGCCAGTTGCAAGATATATATCTATTTATCACCTTTTTCTAACAAGCGACATGACCCACAAGTCTAAATGAAAGGGACGTAACTCTAATATGCACACAATTAAGAATGTTAATAATATTACTAATAATTTCAAGCATGTATTTAGTGGTATCATCATAATAAGTTAGGCAATAGTTAAAAAAAACCACGATTGATGCGAATGCCAAACTTTCCCATCATCCATTTGAATGACCTTGGAGGTCACTAAGATGGCCGACTGCATGAAGGTTTGGGGAAAGTGTGTCGGTCAGCTGTGAATGACATTGAATTATTTTTCATGATATGCTGTTTCTAGAGGTGCAAAATGTCGCATCGGGTGATATCAAGTACCGTGCCCAGGGCAGTAAACTATGGTAAGCGATACTGAAAGATTTAGGTTCACGTCTTTATCAACCGATGCCGACAGTTGCTCCAAATCAAAACAACGCCAGCGCCGGCAACAGTTACTCTCTAGTCTCGGTGATTATAATCTTGGATATATTAGTGACAGTTCACGCAAGTTTTTGTTTGTTTGCAGGGTTAAAGATCTGTCGTCGACCACCTTGTGTATGTCGGTGCCATACTCGCTCACTCATGACTTCGAACTCAAAGAGGTTGGTGTCACTGTCAACAGCTCTCCATGACGTAACAGGGTTATGCCCACGGTAACCCAATATAAGGAAACGTCACTATTTTAACAAGTCTATCACCTACTTGACATGTCCTGTTTTCGACAATCTGTAGATTTTATGTCAAACAAGTTTCACAGAGCAAATAGCAACTAAAGAGAATTATGGAGATGAAAAAATGATGAAAGAGCATGTATTGATGTCACAAGATAATAATATTAATAATTTTCATATTGTCCTCTCATTGTCCTTTGTCATGTTCATGTAAATATTTAAAAAAAATAGCTAACTTGTTAAATGACATTAATATTTTCTACACATTCAATAAGATGTTGGCTAGAAAATGAAATGTTCCGAACTAAGTAAATTCTTTGATTGAAATGCTATACTGGCTAGCGAACAGTTATCGCCATATTTTATTGGTATTTACAAAATTACTCTGCCGTTTGTTAAATTATTGAAACAGAATTAATTATGATACATAATAAGCTATTCATCGATGTGTCCAGCCCGTTCACTGCCGCCGATCATGTTTTTATATAACGCGGCGGAAGGGAATAATGGAAGTATAAATAGCTGTTTTCTCACAACTAACTGTAACAGTTATCGCCATTCAGAATTTCTCATGCCATTCGTGAAATAATATATATTTATATCATACAGTAACCCTCGAATAATTGATTGTGTGACTATTTGAGTGTTTCTTTTACAGTAGATTGATAGGGAATGAAACAATTAATGACTTGTGAACCTGCACTTGCTATTATATAGGTCGCAGGACATTCCCCCCCGACTAAGTTAAAAAAAATTACAGGGTTCATAACTTTATCTGTAATTTTTCTCTTATGTTACTTGCCATGAAGAATTTTCTTTTGCTGTCCTGTATTGTTGTCAAATACCGTAGGCAAAAATACCGGAATTGAAATTGACCAGAACTGCGCACGTGTGATACTGATGTGTTGGCGATAAGTGTTATGCGGCGATAACTGTTCGCTAGCCAGTAGCATTTGATGTAGTTTGAATCAATGCTATGTTTGGGTAATAATGAATGGAGTACCTTTAGAATTCAGCACCACAGTGACCTGTTAGGGCGATATCTGCCATTTGTTTGTGTCATGTGAGAATCTGTTGAAGCGGAACCATTGACCATCAGACTGTTAACCCAACAAGATAACCGACTGAACTATGTCCACTCTGTCCACTAAATATAGAAATGAATGGAAAGAGGTGAATAGGTGACAGACATTTCTGAAGGCTATGGTTAGTCATAGTGTCACTGGTGAGGAATGTTGAATGAACTGGAAATGGTTCCAGATGTCAGATATGGATTACATGAGTATATTGACTGACAGGGTATTTGATAATTCATTGGGTGGTTTTGTGACAGCAGAGTGTGGAAATGATAACACGTAATATAGTAAGGAATGAAAGAGGCATGAGCATGGCTACTGAAAGTTCTGACAGTTTCCACCAGCCACAATAGTCTTCTCCCAACCACTTTATTCAACTCTCTAAATATTTCAGTGTGGAGAATAAATAGGCCACCCATGCCCCTAACAATTTGAAAACAACAAAAATAACTTGAACATGCTGCCTAGTCGAACCCACCAAAGTAGACTCCCCAACATTGCAGCCTTCTGCATTACCCAGAGTGTCAGAAGGGCTGTGCTCCCAGTGGAGAACCTGGGCACTCTCCTGATCTGTGCTATTAAGAGATTAAGGAGGGACCAAACCAAGGGCACCGAGAACAATGGAGAGCCTGATGACAATGAACTGGGATGAAAGCGAGACATTTCCTAGGCGAGGTCCTCATATTTAACATGCTTTTCCTAAATCTTGTCAATCAAGTTGCTGTCAAAAGGGACAGAAAATTCAATGATATCAATAAATTCATTGGCTTTATCAAAAAGGACAAGATCAGGTTTGTTGGCTGGAATTCTTCTGAGGCTGTATATGGGCCTATTCCAAAGAAGTTTGAAGGCATCATTTTCCGTGATGCCCTGGACATGTTCAGGGTCGTACCATGGATGGACCTCAGAGTCAAAGTCACAGGCATGGCGAAGACGATAGTAGAAGCAACCAGCCATGCCATCATGTCGTTTAAGCTATGTTAAGCATGCCAAGGTTGTTGGACAGAATCTGAAATTAGAGTTTGATTTTGTTGATGACGATTCACTGCTCTATGGTACAGTAATGGGAGTAAACCAGGTGAAGTCCTCCACCAAGTCTGCTCAGAGTCGGTCTTTTGTGGAGAAGCTTTCTTAGAAACCATTGCATCGTGTGTACATGCAGTGTGTGGAACAGAATAGTGATCCAACAGACTCTTCACCTGGATGAAGTCTGCTGGTCTTAAATGTGAAACTGAGGGCTTTCTTTTTGCTACCCAAGACCAGTCACTTCCCACTCGCAATCACCAAACCATGATATACACTATACCTTGCAACAGAATTTTACAAGTTACATCATAGGTATTTGGACAAGTTTAGAAACATTGTGGCAATGAATTTTAAAGGTATTCAATGGGAGGCAGCAGTTATTAATACCTGGATGAAATGATGACTTTATAATGTTTAGTTTGAGCTTTGCGATGATACCTGTCATGAATGTTTATTTGCTGTTAATTACTTTCAGACAAGTGTCATGCATTGTATGCTTTTTCCAGGAGTTATCTGATGACTGTGGCTAAAGTACAGACTGAAGCAACAAGGAAAACACTATTATCACAGATTCACCCAGCTGCCTATGTTCTTTCAACAAAGTACAAGCTAGATTCCCCTCAAGACTCTAGCTACTACAAGTCAAGATATCTCATAGGCTCTTCCCTAGATCTTAGTAGTCTGTCTGCGTTCCATAATAATGTGATTTATAGAGGATTTCATACAACTAAGTTATTTTACAAAGAAGAGTCAAAAGTAGAAAAAACTGTGAAAGCACTGAAAGAGGAGGCCACTGATGTTGCTAAGAAACCAGAAGAAGAGACTGTGGTGATGGTGAAAAAGTCTTTGTGGCAAAGATTTGTAGCAGAATGTAAACATTACTACCATGGGTTTAGGTTGTTGTTCATAGATATTAAGATTGCTGCCAGAATGGTGTGGACCATCCTCAATGGAAGCAGCTTATCACGGAGAGAACACAGACAGGTATAGTTGTACTCAGGAATGTTTACTTTAGTTCAAAGTTCTTGTGGATAAGAGTGTCATTAGACAATAATCATTCACTTCCTCTTTTAGCTATTAAATGTTGAGCCCGATCTGACTTATTTTGTCAATAATTTCCCTCCTAAAATAATCAAGCTATTGGGAAAACTGTGTGTAAAGTAATGTTTGCTGCATTTCTGAAATATATTTTGATAATGACATAAAGTGATTGAATAAGAATAATAACATCTTGTAGCTTGTCCGCACAACTGCTGACCTGTTTCGACTGGTGCCATTCTTGGTGTTCCTGTTGGTACCGTTCATGGAGTTTCTGCTGCCAGTGGCTATCAAACTTTTCCCAACCATGCTACCCAGTACGTTCAAGGAAGAGAACAAAGAGGTGAAGTATACATGAGTTTCTTGTAACTAGCACCATCCAGATTATAGGTGCAAACTATTTTTCTAACAGCAAAACATCCAAAAGTAAATTTTATGAATGATTTTGTTGAAATTTAGGGACCGTTCATAATTTATGGCTAGAGGGGCGTGATGATGATTTTTATGGAGAAGCATGTACAATGTGAAAGCCCCCCCCCACACACACACTTTATGTACACAGTAAGTGACCCCGCCCTGCATGTCATGTACAAAATCACTGACCCCCCTCCCCTTTCCTTAATTTTTATGCATAATTTTTAAATATTTAGGTACAAAATTGATGACCCCCTAGTAGATGTGTACAAAATTGATGACCCCCCTTAAATTTATCATCATCTCCCCTCCCCCCCTTTTTCATCAGAAGGGAGTATATTAATGGGAATCCGATGACTGCTAAAGGTAGTTATTGTCAAAGGGAGGTAACTCAAGATATCGGTGGTGATAAGGAATGTAAACACTGTCAGTTAAATAGGGATATGCTAATATTGCTAGGTAAAAGTGAGTAAGAGCAAGGGATGGAATGGTTGCTACTTGTTGCTAGGATATCTGGTTAGGTTGTGAGGATGTAACAGATATTGTAGAAACAGTTCGAGTCAGATCTTGAATAAACATGTTACAAAAACTGAATACAATTATAGTTATGCGACTGTTAGTTTGTTGGCAAAAAGAAACAAACTGTTCTTTATACTTCAAGGAAATGTTTGTTTCAGCTGCTGGACATCCAGCAAATTCTGCGTATAATTTTGTTGTAGCACTAAGACCACTTTTGTAAATGGTACTCTTCTACCTTGGCATATGTAGGCTGTAGGTTTACTTTCCGACAGGTTCCATTAGGAGGTTGTAGAAATGTTTGTCTGTGTGTTGCAGCAAGAGAAGCTGAAGAAGCAGCTGAAGGTGAAGCTGGAGATGGCCAAGTTCCTCCAGGACACCATCAATGAGAGTGCTCTCCAGGGCAAGAAGTCCTCTGGGGAGAAGGTCCAGAAGTTCTCTGACTTCATGAACAAGGTAAGTCAAGCTTGCTCTTGTATTTGTTTTCAAAGAGTTGGGTATTTTTTCAGCCTGTTTGTGGAGGTAGAATGAGGTACAAAGAATGTGAGTTAATACGCGGGTATTTTATCTTTCTCCTTTATTCTCAAAAGCCAGTTGTATGATTTGTAAACCAAGACATTCTATAATTGTGGCTGGAGATTTGCTTGTACTGAAAGTGCTTCTGATTTACCAGATTCGAAATGAAGGTATCCGCCCAAGCACAGATGACATTATCAAGTTCTCGAAGCTATTTGAGGATGAGATGACGTTGGACAACCTGTCCCACCAGCAGCTGCAGGCACTGTGTCGTGTTCTCAGCATCACCCCCATTGGCACTGACGCCCTGCTCCGCTTCCAGCTGAAGCTTAAGCTCAGGCAACTCAAGGCTGACGACAAGGTAGAGTCTTGACTAGAGGCATTCCCTATTTCATATATAAATTTGAAAGCAAAGAAAAACATATCTTAGCTCATTCCTTGTGAAGAAATATCTCAGGAAAGAGAGTCTCTATGTTACAACTAAGACACATGAGCTAGTAGTGTTCATTCCTTGGAATTCATAAGGAGGTAGGGGCATGGAGGGCTCAGTCTTGTGTAATGCTTCAATTGACTGTGCAGAGTTGTGTCCCTTAGGCACACCACAAACCTATGATTACAAAAATTGATTTTCAGCAACCCATGTTTGTTGTAAAAGGTGACTAACAGGATCAGGTGGTCAGGCTTGCTGACTTGGTTGATGCATGTCATTGTATCCTGACTGCATAGATCAATGCTCATGATGTCATATTGCTAGAAAATTACGGAGAGCAGTCTTAAACAACAAGCAAACAACAATTACAACTGTCTGTTTGTCTGTCTATTGACGTCACGCAGATGACCTGGGTTCGAATCCCCACATGGGTTACAATGTGTGAAGCCCATTTCTGGTGTCCCCTGCCGTGATGTTGCTGGAATATTGCTAAAAGTGGCGTAAAACCAAACTCAGTCAGTCAGTCAGTCTGTCTATTGAGACTGTTTGAGAATTAATTAGGAATATTCTGTTCTTTTTTGAATCAGCTGATGAAAGGAGCAAGCATATACTCTTAAATATTGTGGTCTTTTTAAGAAAGATGTGTATCTCTTGAAGATGCCTCTCAAAGTCTTGTTTAACCTGTTCCTTGACTGCTGCAGCACTGATCACTGACCATTGAAGATCCCTCTCAGAACTGGTCTTCAGCAACCCATGTTTATTGTAAGAGTAGACTTGGGTGGTCAGGTTCACTGACTTGGTTGATGCATGTCATCTTTTCCCAATTGCGTATATCATTGCTCAAGATGACAAACACTGGATTGTCTGGTCCTGACTATTCTTTACAAATCACCATCATATAGCTGGAATGTTGCTGGATGCTGTGTTAGACGAGAAACAAACTTTTGATCATAATGTTCTATTCTTTGATTCTAATCAGATGATCATCAAGGATGGTATTGAGAGTCTATCAGTAACGGAGCTGCAGGTGGCCTGCCGAGCCAGGGGTATGCGAGCCTTGGGTGTGTCAGAAAACAGACTCCGCCTACAGCTGCAGCAGTGGCTTGACCTTCACCTTTACGAGAAGATCCCAACATCACTGTTGCTGCTATCACGTGCCCTTTATCTCCCGGAGACATTGTCCACTACACAGCAACTGGAGGCTACCATCTCAACTCTCTCTGACACACCGGTCAGTTCAGCTTGCTGTCATGTCATTTCTACCAGGATCAGAATATGGAGAACTTGAAATATTTAGAGCAAATGGATGCCAAATATGTTCATATGATTCAGCAGCTAGTATCTCTGTGAAGATATTGATGTGTGTGTCTGTTGTATCCCTTCGAGAATTAATTCAGAAGTTGCTGTCCTTTGTTGAATGAGGAAAGAGATATAGACCTCAGTTGCCATAACTCAAAATGCATGTTAAAATTAAAATGTCATTCTTAGTATTAATTAGTAGTACTTCATAAAGATCTTAATACATACTAAAAGGTATATAGATCAAGCATGCCATTTGAAAAGTGGTATGTGTGAGTGATATTTTATGGTGTTTGAACAGTGTACCACTCTCTTAGAAAATTGCTTATGATAAAAGTTGTGTCGCTGAAAACAAAAGGCCTGGCAAGAATATTTCATTTAGGTTATTGTCTAATGGGGCTCTGACAATCCCTTCACTCTTTGAAGTTTAGGAAACAAGATGATCCAGCAGTTGTGGCTGTATTCCTGTCCTGAACATTGTCTGTGTTTTTCTGTGTGCTGTCTTCATCAATGTGTATGTGTGTTATGTACTGTAGGCTGTCCTCATCAATGTGTATGTGTGTTATGTACTGTAGGCTGTCCTCATCAATGTGTATGTGTGTTATGTACTGTAGGCTGTCCTCATCAATGTGTATGTGTGTTATGTACTGTAGGAGGTCCATCATCAATGTGTATGTGTGTTAGTATGGAGCTGTCCTCATCAATGGAGGTGTTATGGCCATCAATTTGTATGTGTGTTATGTACTGTAGCTGATCAAGGTGGCGTGGCTGTCCTCACTGTGTAGTGGTTATGTACAAGGTGGACAGGCTGTCCTCACAAGTATGTGTGTGTTATGTACTGTAGGCTGTCCTCATCAATGTGTATGTGTGTTATGTACTGTAGCTGGACATCCTCATCAAGCACTGTAGGTGAGGAGGTGGACAACAAGACTAAGAGGGACATCATCAAGCACGAGGAGGAGGCCATCCAAAAGGAGAAGCAGGCACAGATGGAGGAGGAGGAGATGGACAAGGCCAAGGTTAGGACAATCTTTGATGTATTGTGACAACCAGCTTGGACATTGACCATTTAATATTCTGAGTGTGTGGATATGAGTGTGTATGTATGGGTGTGTATTTGTGATTACGGATGAGGTGATGTGCATTCAGAAGGAGAAGCAGGCATAGATGGAGGAGGAGGAGATGGACAAGGCCAAGGTTAGGACAATCTTTGGTGTAATGTGACAACCAGCTTGGACATTGACCATTTAATATCCTTAGTGTGAAGGGGAGGAGGAGAGATGGACAAGGCCAAGGTGTCAGTGTGTGTGATGGGTGTGTATTTGTGGGTATTTGTGGTTACGGATGAGGTGATGTGCATGTATGTGAGTGGGTTTAGGGTGTTTGTATTTCAGCAGCTGGAGCATGGTCTGACAATCAGTATGATAATATTGGTATATATATAATGAGGGTGTGTGTTTCAGCAATGTAAGCATGGTGTGACCATCAGTATGATATTGGGTGTATAACAAGGGTGTCTGTTTCAGCAATTGGAGCGTGAGGCTGCTGAAGCACTGGCAGCACAGACTGCCATGGATACCAAGGACGTGCTCCAGGATGAAGCTGCCATTCTAGATGTCAAACCTGCAGAAGGTTGGGAAACAGCTTGTGATGATCCTCTAACATTTAGCTACAGTTTGTGTATCATTATATACCCATTCCACAAAGCCATCAAAGTGCTAAGATGATTGTAATTCCCATCATTATCCAAAATAATCTATCATAAATAATGATGTATGACTGCTTAGTAAATCCCTGACATTGTGGTTGTGTGGTTATGACATGATGATTACTTCTACTGTGTTTGAGGGGGTGGTGGGGTAGCCTAGTGGTTAAAGCGTTGGCTCGTCACGCAGAAGACCCGGGTTCGATTCCCCACATGGGCACAATGTGTTAAGCCCATTTCTGGTGTCCCCCGCCGTGATATTGCTGGAATATTGCTAAAAGCGGCGTAAAACTAAACTCAGTCAGTCAGTCTACTGTGTTTGTGTACACAGAGCTGAAGGACACTGCCCCTGTGATGGAAGAGCCAGAGGAAGAGAAGATCTCAAGTAAAGACTTGGAGGAGATTGAATCTGCTCTGGAGGAGATTGCTGAGCAGAAGCAGCTGAACATTGAGAAAGAGGAACTCCAGGATCTCAAGGAGGAAGTGGAAGAGTATAAGGAGGTGAGGAGTCACATGGGGTGAGGGGGCAGGGGGTTTGGGTGTCAGTGGTGAAGTTCACCCAGTATTTAAAGCAGTTAAACACGATGTAGTTGTTCCGTCGGCGACATTGGCTACAGCCAGAAGCCGACGTTAAACTTGAAATCATCATCATGTAGTTGTTCCTGTTTATTCCTTCATTGTTACAATGTGTGAAGAAGCCCTTTCACTGTGTCCTTTTCGAGCATGATATAGCTAATTATGAATGTGATCATTCAACCCTAATAGATAATATGTATTGTTAGGCCATCTGTAGGTGAGTGGAAAATGAAATTGACATCAGTATGCTCATCATTAGGACTTGGAAGACTTGAAGAGTGTCATTCTGGCATCTGGGAGACCTCAGGAGGATCTTCGTGAGTCCAAGGCCGCCCAGCGTCTGACGAAGCGAGTGAGTAAGATGATCTCCCAGCTGGATGACGTGATCACGGGACTTCACAAGGAGAAGCAGAAGTTCCAGGAGGAGCTGGAGGTCAAGCAGGTCAGGATGAAGTGGACTTCAGAGAACAAAGATGACGAACGACTAGAACAGATACGCAAGGAGATTGCAGATGAGAAGTCAGTACATGTCATCTTGTGTCTGTTGCTCGGGCTTTATAGAGTTGAGTGTGGATGTAGAGTTGATTTTGGATGGTAGTGTGTGTCTAGCAGACTCAGATGGAGATTGCAATACACGTCATTTTGTGTCACTAGGGTGTTAAGGATTTCTGTTCACTGATTTGGTTTGAAGGAGCAGTCTCCAGTATTTTCCAATGTGATCACAGAAATTGATGGAATTTGTTATACACACAGATTGAGGGTTAGCATGTCTGCATCGATCTTGTCATCTTTGTCACCACAAATTTTTGTTGTAATTGAGGTTCGAAAAGTATATTGAATTATCTCCCCTTGATCTATCTGCTCACAGTCACAATGTAATCATGATTGAGATCATGGTCAGTTCTAGCTCATGTTTAACACTTCATTAATCTGTTGTTGTGCTTGTCAGAAACACCATCATCAGCATCAACGAGATGGTTCTGGCACTGAAGCGGATCCAGAAGGTGCCCGATGAGACCAAGCTGCAGACTATCGTGGAGGTGCTGGACCAAGACATGGACGGCATCATCGACATCAATGATGCTCTGAAGGTATGCAGCAGCAGTGGACACTGCAATTGATTATAGCCATTTATTTGATGTCAAAAGAAACAAAATCTCATGGTTTCTACAAGAAATCCATCTGTGTCTTAATTAATATCCATAAACAGTGCATTGTTACATATTACCTATCAGTTGCTTGTATAGAGTATGACTAATGTAACATATGTTATATTTGGGATAACACTTTCTTAATAAAGTACAGATTCTAGTACTAGTATGACTAGTGTCGTAGTTTGTTTCTGGTTGAATTCTGCAGTTGGCAATATTCAAGCTATATGCAATGGCGGTCTGTAAGCAAAGTCTGCTCCAATCGATTTTAGTAATTGGGGTATGAAGAAAGTCCTGACATCCGATCTTGTTACCGACCTCTTTGATAAGTTGGATGTTCAGTGAGGGTGAAACAGGATTATTACAGCAGAAAGCACCCATTACAAGTTAACATCTTCTAATCTCGGATTGTTCCAGGTGATTGAGACCCTAGGGCGGGAGAATGTGAAGTTGAACAAGTCCCAGGTGGCCGAGATGCTGGAGCTGCTGAGACAAGAGGATGTCATTCAGGAGGAGGAGAAGCGCCGTGAGAAGGAGGAGAAAGAGAACACGAAGCAGGAGACACAGCAGGAGCAGCAGCAGCAACAGCAGTAGTGGTTGCCGACGATACGTTCTCATTCCTTCTACAGATATGATATTGAACTATGAAGTAAATGTATAGGAACAGATACAGTCCCAGTAGAGAACAACAAGGAGAGCTCTGTGCACAAGTGTCTGAGTTCGAGCCTCGGTTGCTTGAACGTTTTGATGAGAAAACACCTGAATATTCCACAATCCATGGAATTATGTATGTACATGAATCCAACCTTTTGATGACCCAGTGGACTTGATTGTCTGCCATGATTTGAAATGTGATTTCTTGTCATTAGTTAGGTGCGTTGATTATGTGATGAATGTGAAGATGAAGACTTACTGGTACCCGTGAACAGAACTGATAGTAACATAGGTGTTTATTAAGTGCTGAAAATGCTGAAAGTGCTGTTATGAAAATTATGTCAACTTTTACCAACACAATTTGCATGAATACTGAATTGTATTCATATTGTTGTGTAGTGGTATTCGTTACTGCTGGAACAGAGGGACATATCAAATATTAAAGAAGACACACTTGTAACTGATAATGCTTGAAGCATATTAAAGTGAGTTGTATACAGTACATGTGGTAATTTGAAAGTCTTTATGTTTGGAAGCATGTCAGAGACTTTATGTGAAATTGTGAGAAGAGTCAAAATGTGGTGTGGCTGGCACAATAGTGAGGCATCAGTAACCATGGTAACTGTTATAGTGCTAACATGCAGCTGGTAGTAGTGCTGATCTTGTATAACCAGAATATACCTGTAGAGACATATTCCACTGATAATCAGCTGTACCAGATCTTGATGTGTTCAGACAAACCAAAGAATATTCATGTGAGTTATTGTGAATGTTTTTAGTCATGATGATACAATGATCTCATCAACATCTATCCTCTCTCTCTCATAAGATGTTTTCTGCATGAACAAGTGACAAATCCTAGATTGGACATGTTTCTTATTGGCTATCAGCACTGAGGCGACTAAATTATCATTAAACAGCACGGTAACTCTGAATGGAATATACCAAAAGCAATGCTGTTATACTTTGAAGATATTATATACCCTTTCATTTTTGGCACAATGACATCTATGTCCAAGAAGGTGCGCTATTAAGTGAATTCCATGGTGGTAAAAACATTAATCTGAATTGTTTAGGAAAGACGACATCTGACTGAAGAACCAATGAATCTTTGATTTCAATTTGACAAACAAAGTAAGCTCATATCTTCTTTCAGAAGGATGTTGTATCAGTGTAAGAGATCTAAATAAGTGAGGATGGTACTGTATATATTCATCTGAGATAAACAACTTGTGATGCAGTCATAAGCTGTTTTATAATGAATATCATCTGGTAGGCTAGAAGTGTGTCAAGAGATGTACAACCACAATGGAAACTGAGTAAGTGAAACCCTGGTTATATTGGTGTGTATTTATGTTTGTCTAAAGTCTATACTGGATTACTGGCTTGGTGGTAAGAGTGGCTCCGGGATTCATATATCTTCCAGCTTATTCCTGATTCAGATGAAATGATACAGCCCAGTATTATCACTAATATCTTGTCGCTATATGGCTGAAATAATGCTAATGCGATGTAAAATGTTATCTGTAACTAATTCGTGTTAAGAAGACAATTTATATTATTTAAAATTCATTCTATATTCGTTTTTGTGAAGTAATCTTGTTTTTACAATTTGAATTGAAGTAGTATTTCTTGATGTCTGATGTAATACTGACTACCAGATACTTTTATTGCTAGCGGTGCATTTCTAACCCATGAAACTAACTACAGCAGTATGGCTACACATTAGTGGTGATCCGATTAATCGAAATAATCGAAGATTGGTCGCAGTGACTAAACAATCAAGCAATCGATCATGTTTTCCCATAATGGAACACAAACAATTCTGGAACACTTGTTTTCATCAACAACATTTTTCACAAGATTGGTTTTGTCTGTTACATTTCATAAGCACTACAAGCTCATGATTGAATTTATCTTAAAGACACCAAGAAATTTATGTTCCTAACATACTAGTCATCCTTTAAAGATGTGAAATTTTGCCAAAAAACCCCAAAATAACTATGTTTTTTTCCTTATTTTTGGTGCATTAACAAATTTCATAAATGACGCTAACCAATTATTTTCGATGATTGAAGGTGGTAATGAACCAATCATCAATTATGAGATTTTAACCAAATCCCAACACTACTACACATAATGTGTGTTCGGTGTACATACATATACATGTACAAAGTGACCCATTTTTCCTGTGAAAAGTGTCCTCATGTCTTGTTGTTTCAGAAGATATTTTCGTCTATTTAAATTATATTTGTTTAGATGTTTTGGTTTCTTTTGTGCACTTATGTTTTGTAATATAATTTTTTTAAAATGGAAACAAGATCAGACAAACTAGAATGTGTAAGTGAAGGATGATGTACACACGGTGTCATAGGCTTTTCCAAGGCAGATGTTCACTTGGTATAGCTGACTATTGCTACTAGTGTGGATTACAGGTAAGAAAATAGGTACAAACAAACATATTTGTCGAAGAAGTGACAATGGATTGGATGGTCAGCCTTGTCATATTGTATTCCAGTTTTGTAGATAGTTCTCATGATATCTGTTCAAGAATTGATCTTCAGTAACCCATGCATGTTGTAAGAGGCGATTTATTGGAATGGGTCGTCAGGATCTCCCAATTGGTTGACACTCGCATCAGAACACTAACAATTTCTTTGTTCTTTCACTGTACCACTCTCTCTGCTACACTGAAATAAATAGAAGCTAACTTACGGCTGGCTATAACGATCGATAATCAGTAATAACATTGATATGAAAATTGTGGCATCTTCAGATATGAAAATTATCCTACATAAACATTTGTGATGAAATATAGTTTGAACTTACTCACACAGTACACAAAGTTAGGTCTTTAACTCATAGGCTACTTCTAAATTATGTTCAGGAGGCTGTTTTGTTAGTCATCCATGCATAAACATGTCTTCACTCTCCAGTGATGTGAAATATGTTGATTTCTATCAGACCTTTTTTGCATTTTTGCTCAAATTTACTTCCCTTCAATTTATCAATAATCCATCGATTGTTAACAACTGTTATCTATACCAGTAGCCATGAAAAGCTGTAGGTTCCAGCTTGCATATTTCAATGACAGTTTTACTTTTCTGTGGTTATTAGACATATTCAAGACCCGCTAAATCATATCATCCTAACAACCTATATTTGCATATTTATATAAAATATGATGATGCTAGTCTTGCCATTCAATACTCAGTTGCAAGACTTTGACCTGCATTTAGTATTCAGTGCAGTCTAAACAGTTAACACAGTATGATAAAAAGCATGGTACCATGATAATTTTTCTTTTCTAACTGGTTCCACTTTTTAACACATTTGGCCAAAAACAGGGAGCCACAAAATACTTTATTTACGGTAATACAAATCATACTGATCTGCCATGTTGATGTTTCTTTAGGCCAAGGTCAAAGAAACCTATATTGAAATCCAATTCAAGCAAATGGAATCTCAGCTCTGTACATCCCAACCAATAATCTTGTATTGAACTGCTTGATATGTTAATGTTTGTCTCTAGGAGTTAGGAAATTTTGAAAATGAAAGACAATCACGGCAAGGTATATTTTTAGGGCATGTTATGCTTTGTAAATTAGTTTGTTAAACATTTGGCCTAAACTTTAGATTGGTACTACTACTTATGAACGAGAAACTGAAAGATACCTGGTAATAGGAGTTTTTTGGGGGGTTAAAATAAATATCTTTAAATTTTACTTCTCCATATGTTACCAACATTGGAGATACATTTTGTTTTTTGTTTTTTTTCATTTTACCTAATAGTGAAAAAGTTGTCCGGAAGTCTTTTTCCCCCCCTAAAATAAGTTTTATTTCTTTGTCATTGAGCTCGTAAACCAACTGAGAAGAAACCATGGCCTAATCATGTAAAAGTATGCTTTCAGTGTATGAATACATAACCAGATACCATGATACTGGATCCTAAACATTTGTATGTGTGTAAAGATAATAACAATTCTAGATGCACATAAAAACTCAGGACTTGCTTTTGTTCCTAATAGAACCACAATAGCTCAGATGTTGCAGATGTGCTGCTTATTCCATCTGTTCTGTAGCTGAACGTGTTCCACTGATTCCTGTGGTGCTCTGAACATAATACATACAGTAGTTGTAGCTTGTGTTGAGTGCAGCTGATATTTGGCAGTCGTTTTGGTGAATGGACTATTTATTTCACGGCATGTTTGAATTGTGATACACTGTTTTGCTGAAGCAATGTGAATATGTTTCACTTAATTTTGTTGCTAAGTCAGTGGGAATAGGCTGCACTTTACTATTTTGCTGAACCAATGGGAAGAGGCTGCACTTACCTTGTAACTATTTTGCTGAAACAATGGGAATAGGCTGCACTTACTCTGTAACTATTTTGCTGAAACAGTGGGAATAGGCTGCACTTAACTATTTTGCTGAAACAATGGGAATAGGCTGCACTTGCCCGGTAACTATTTTGCTGAAACAGTGGGAATAGGCTGCACTTAACTATTTTGGCTGTAACAGTGGGAATAGGCTGCACTTAACTACTTTGGTGAAACTCTGGAAATTGGCTATGTTTAACTATTTTGCAGAAACACTGGGAATAGGCTACATTTAACTATTTTGCACGTGTTTGTAGTTTACAAACTTGATTAGTAATTGTTTCTATCAGCATAAGCCATAATAATAATATTAGACATATCAATGCAGTTTGTTTTGTGGACATTTGATCATGTTTGTTCTCCAGATAATGTGAGTTGAATGGCTGTACTGTGTGATGACCATTTCTGGGCCCCGATCCACAAAACAATCGTAGCGCTAAGATGATCGTAACTCCTATACTTTAACATAGACTTACGACTGTTGTAGCACTACGATCGCTTTGAGGAACGGGGTACTGGTGTCTCTTGACATAACATTGTCGTTAAAACTGTGTAAAACCAAATTCACACACACCGCCAGTATTTACGTTTATTTAAGTCGTATGAATGATATTTTGTTTTCTATGCAAGTCCTATAATCAGTTTATTGTTTAAGTATGTCTAATTGTTTGCATAACTTTTAGCGAGATATATTATAGTCCTTGGTGCAAAATGACAGGATCGAAATGTACGTGTTGTAAATTTCACACCTACTTTTATACGAAATTCAGTGTCTTGGATATATTTGTAGAACAGTTGTTGATAATTTAAGCATCTGTGATCTGTGATGTTTTCTGTATGATCTATTAAGGTTGTGTGAGTGTTGTACTGTTGAGGCCAAAGCAGCTTATAGGACAGGTTAGTTACTGGTAGTTAGGAGAGTCAAGCTGCTCTCACCTAGTGAGGAACTGTGTTGTTTACAGTATGATATCAATTGAGTAATGGTACTGTGATATGGTAGAGTGTCCCTGTAAGAGGATTATTATAAAGTACATGGTTTTACAGCCTCTGTATGCCCATACATTCGATACTACGCATTACATTCTATAGGGGTGAAGAAACAGGTTAATAACAACAGATT